AAAGGAATCATTGCTGGTACACAGTTGTTTATTTTTTTTTTCTCATTATTTAATTATTTTGTAATAAGTAGGTCGTGTTTTTTTTTTTTTTTTTTTAACTAGAAACTTTCCGTTATCTTATCAAATTGACTGAAAAACATTTACTTCTGACATTTGTCAAGTTTAGATTTTTTATTTCCATCAAGTGGTTCGATATATATATATATACATATATGTGTATATATGTATTTAAATATATTTCTATGCATGCATCACACGCATGATTTGCACGCGTGTTTGTGTACTTCGGTTATTGAATGAGCTATTAAAAGAAAGAGAGAGAGAGAGAGAAATATAATGTTTGTGATGCTCACTCTATGGTGCGACAGTTCAAAGGTTAAAACTACGTTAACCTTCAATAAGAAAGAATATATTGACTTTAATGTATATATTTTGTACTTATTGTTGGCAGGTGGTATTACCGGAGGTATAGAAATTTGTATTACATACCCAACTGAATATGTAAAAACACAACTACAATTGGATGGTAAAAGTGGAGCTGGCAAAGAATATACAGGAATATGGGATTGCGTAACAAAAACTGTCAAAACTCGTGGATTCTTTGGATTATACAGAGGCCTATCCGTTCTCCTTTATGGCTCTATACCAAAATCAGCAGTACGTTTTGGTGCTTTCGAATCAGTTAAAAAAAGATTGGTCGACGCAGATGGAAATCTCAATGCTCAGAGAAAACTTTTGGCAGGACTTTGCGCTGGTGTATGCGAAGCTATTTTCGCGGTGACTCCTATGGAAACGGTCAAAGTTAAATTTATTAATGATCAGAGATCGCCTAATCCTAAGTTTAAGGGATTTTTTCACGGCGTTAGTTTGATAGTCAAAGAAAATGGTAAGCATTTCTACTGTTCTACACTTTTTCTTTACGTGACCAAAATATTTCTTTTATGATGTAAATATTGCTTATATACATTTTTATTATCATGAGCGTTCTTTTCTTCTTTTCATTAGCGTTGAAAATTCTGGCACAAATTTATTACACACAGTTGAAGTATGATGAATTATATATTATTACATAATATCTATAGATACATATTTATGAGTGTGAGTCTTTGTTTTTTAAGAAATGCTCATTTTCACATATTTCTATTTTTATCCTACTAATACATAATTTTGTAATTGGTTTAAATAAGAATTTACAAAATTATGACATACATAAAAGTATCTTTTAAATGAATGATAAGAATAATGGTATATGCAGACTTAGTCCTTGAACCGTATTAACTTGACTGATGAAAAGGAAAGATAATACCGCTTGTAAGCTGACGTTTACAAGATTGAGATAGTAAGACATGTTTTTCTCCTTTTTTATACATATTATTAATTGATCATATGCGTGTGTATTCCCTTGAAAACTCTCACTTAAAATATCAATAATTATATACTTCATGTATCTTAAATTACTACCATGAATGTGTTTTCATTAACAACAATATCAATTATTATATAATCAATTATTTATTATTATTTAATATCGTTATTTTGTTGAACAGGATTCAAAGGAGTATACCAAGGTGTTATGCCTACTATTTTAAAACAAGGCTCTAATCAAGCAATACGATTTTTTGTAATGGAAACATTAAAAGACTGGTACAGAGGTGGTGACAATAATAAAAATGTTCCTAAGGTTGTTGTCGGTGCGTTTGGTGCATGTGCTGGAGCAGCTTCAGTTTTTGGAAATACCCCTGTAGATGTTGTCAAAACTAGAATGCAGGTGTGTAATAATATTCTTTCCTTAATTATTTAAGCAACTTTCAGTATTATAATTGAACTTTTATTTTTAGGGTTTGGAGGCATCAAAATATAAAAGCAGTATAGACTGCGTTATCCAAGTATGGAAAAAAGAGGGTCCATTAGCCTTTTATAAAGGCACTATTCCAAGATTAAGTAGAGTATGTTTAGATGTTGCTATAACATTCATGATATACGATTCATTTATGGATCTGTTTAAGAAAATATGGCCATGAAAAAACTTATATATATTTATATAGAATTTTTATTTTATTATATTATATTATTTTAAATGATATTTTATATGAACATTAGAACATTCCTTTATGGGAGTACATTTGCGTAATATGTTTGTATGATAATGACTGGAATATTATTTTCTTATAATAAGTTTATTATCATTCAAAGATATTATCTTGTTAAATTAATAAATACGTCTCGTATGATGTCGATCATTTAATGTGCAGTAGTTGGTCGGTTGACAAACATAATCTGTTAATCATCGAAAAAGACAAATTTACAGTTTTACAAATCTTCTATACAGTGTCGGTTTTTTTTGCACTTATTTTGTAAAATGTTCATTAACCGATCATTTACTGTATTTTATTAGAGAAACATTATTGTTTGCACAAAATACATTTTTTTATATATATAGAGAGACATATTGTATATTAAGCACAAGGTTTTATTAATTTAAATAAGGTATATGTAAATAATACATAAACATTCCATGATATTAATATACACACATATACATATGCATGAGAGTATTGTATGAACTAAATAATTGCAATCAATGCTGTGCCAGAAAACAAAATCAAATATTAAAAAATTATATATACCTATGTTTAAATAATAATAATAATAATAATAATATAATTTTATATAAATATATGTGCACAGTTTTATACTTGAAAAAAGAAAACATTATTCAAGATGTATTAAATGATGTACATAGATATAATTTAAAATCAGTTGGAAAAAAAAGAAAAGTAAAAAGTTTAAAAGAGACTACAAGTTTGCATAGACGACGCAAATGTATTTAATAATAATAAAGCTTCAGAGAGGTATTTATGTACACATTCCACATTATTTTAATTGTATTATATTGCATACAATTATTAATTAAAATGATATTGCCATATTGTAACCAAAAATAATATACATATTTTTATCGAATATTTACAATCGCATATGCCACATGAGATATTTTGGGTATTATTATTTCCTGTTGTTTATTTTTATTTCTTATATTATTCATTTAATTGACACCTGTAAATTTTTCAAATTGAAATAATTAAAAATCACAAGGAAAATTATTAAAGAAGGTATAAGAGAAAAACAAAATGGAAGGAAAGAAGTAAGAAAGGAATTGAATGTTTAATGATTATATATTTAAAGATGCACGTCCTGTGTAAGATTCCAATTTTCTACGCGCTCTTACAGGTGGGGCCTTATGTATATCTTACATTCATATATACACAGGCAGAGACACATAGGTCAGTTAAGTGTAAGTGCGGTGTACGCATGTAAAAGTAAAGAAGAGGGGCCTTAGGGAGAAACCCCCCACATTCCAAGATGGCTGTGCCTAAGGAATGCAGTGGGTGCCCCCCTAAGACGCCTTTCTCCCTCCTTTTTTATTAATCGGATCAATTTATCGAGTCTAGAGAAAAGAAGACTTCAGGTGCCTAGACCAAATAGTGAAATATAAATACGGGACTAGGATTAAACTTAATTTGAAATAATAAATAATATTATTGAGATTGTAAGTTTAGTGTAAAAGAAGAAAAGAAAGAAAAGTTGGGAGAAAGACTAGAAAAGGCCTTACGTGTGTATTAAAGCTCGAAGCCTTATCTAATGGAGCTCGTTTGCGGCAGATAATGCCCATGCAGGAGGATGTTCCCGGCTCGTCTTAAGCAATGTCTCATAGGGATATCTCTGAGGTAATCATATTTTGTCTACAACTATTATTCTATTCATTTTTTATACCCTAGTTTCATTCTATTTTCGTTAGATCTTTATTTCTATAATAAATATTACATATATAAGTATTACATATATAGTATTTATATTTATTTGACTAACTTATTTGAATAAATTTCAGGTGGAGCCCGAAGGTACGTCGGCCTTGGCCGCTGGATCCAGATCATTATTCCTAGAGACTGTACGGCGTAGCAATGCAGCATGTCAAAATGGAGATTACGCACTTGCTGCTACTTTATATACTGAAGCCTTGGCCTTGGATCCACTCAGTCATGTATTATATTCCAACAGATCAGCTGCACGATTAAAAATGGGTTTATTTGCCCTTGCCCTTCAGGATGCTGTAAGGGCCACAGAACTTAGTCCACAATGGCCAAAGGTATATGTATATTCATTCATTCATTTATTACATAAATTGATGCTAATACAAATAGAATCAATATTTATATTATTCATTTTTCAGGCATATTATCGTCAAGGTGTTGCTTTACAATGTTTGGGCAGACATGGAGAAGCCCTTGTAGCATTCAGTACCGGATTAGCTCACGATCCATCCAATTGTCAATTATTGTCTGGTTTGGTAGAAGCTTCCTTGAAATCACCTTTAAGACCAACGTTAGAACCAACATTTCAACAATTGCGAGCAATGAAATTAGATGAATCTTCTTTCGTTGTAATATCTGTCGTTGGTCAAGAACTTCTTGGCGCTGGACAATACAAAGCAGCTGCTGGTGTGTTAGAAGCTGCACTCACAATTGGTTCATGCAGTTTAAAATTAAGAGGTTCTGTTTTCTCTGCCCTGTCTAGTGCATATTGGGCGTTAAATTCTTTGGACAAAGCAATCAATTATATGCAACAAGATTTGGGTATGTGTGATAATGAAAACAAATTTAAAGGTATTTCAAGATTAAGGAATTATTATTTGACATTTGATAAATATTATTTTCAGGCGTTGCCAGATCTTTAGGGGATACGCAAGGTGAATGCAGAGCACATGGAAACTTAGGATCGGCTTATTTTAGTAAAGGCAGTTATAAAGAAGCTTTAACAGCACATCGATATCAATTAGTTTTGGCCATGAAATGTAAAGATACTCAAGCAGCAGCATCTGCCTTGACAAGTCTAGGCCATGTTTATACAGCCATCGGTGACCTTCCAAATGCACTAGCTTCTCACAAGCAATGTGTCCAATTAGTCAAACAAATGGGTGATCGTCTTCAAGAAGCTCGTGAAATTGGCAACGTCGGAGCAGTTTATTTGGCTATGGGAGAATTTGAAAGCGCCGTAGACTGTCATACGCAACATTTACGAATAGCAAGACGCTTGGGAGATCGTGTGGAAGAGGCAAAGGCATTCAGTAACTTGGGATCGTCGCATCACTATTGCAGAAATTTTAATCAAGCAATGGCTTATCACGAAAGTGTATTAAGAATAGCTCAGGAACTTGGGGATAGGGCAATAGAAACAAGAGCTTATGCAGGACTGGGTCATGCTGCAAGATGTGCAGGTGAAATAATTTTCCGAACGAAAAATAATGAGGAAAGCAATGGAGAAGTGAACTTTATTATGTAATCTCTTTCAAATGTATTCTAATGTAGGCGACCTTGCTCAAGCCAAGCTTTGGCATCAGAGACAACTCGATGTCGCGCTAGCAACAAAAGATAAAGTAGCAGAAGGTCGGGCATGCAGCAATCTAGGAATAGTTTATCAATTACTCGGTGAGCATGATGCTGCGCTTAAGTTACACCAAGCGCATTTGGGTATTGCCCGATCTTTAGGTGACAGAGCTGGTATGGGCAGGGCCTATGGAAATATTGGGAATGCTTATAATGCTTTGGGATATTATGAACAGGCTATTAAGTATCATAAGCAAGAGTTGACCATAAGTAAAGAGGTAATATTTTCAAAAGTATCGACTTCAAATCAATTTTCAAATTGTATTTTGTTTTTCACAACAAAGTCTGTATTAACATAATCTATTACAATTTTTCCTAGGTCAATGATCGTAGTTCGGAAGCAAGCACGCACGGAAATTTGGCAGTAGCGTATCAGGCTGTACAAGGCCACGAAGCTGCTCTAAGACATTACAGAGCACACTTGGCGATCGCTCGTGAATTGAAGGATACAGCTGGTGAAGCGTGTGCGCTTCTTAATCTTGCTAATTGTTTATCGTCGCGAGGAAGATTCGAAGAGGCAGTTCCATATTACGAACATTATCTTATGTTATCTCAGGAATTACATGATGTTGAAGGGGAAGCTAAAGCATGCCATTTTTTAGGATATGCCCATTATTGTTTAGGGAATCATAGAGAAGCGGTCAGATATTACGATCAAGATTTGGCATTAGCCAAAGATTTGCAAGATAAATCTGGAATGGGAAGAGCGTATTGTAATTTAGGATTAGCGCATTTAGCTTTAGAAAATTTGGATACTGCCTTGGAGTGTCAGAAATATTATCTTGGTAAGAACAAACTATTGTATTATATTTTAAGATCATTTCACCATGCTATATTATAGGATAAACACTGAATATTTGTCTACTTAAATGTAGCCATAGCCCATATGACTAAGCATTTAGCCGGTAAATTTCGGGCTTTGGGAAATATCGGGGATTGTCTTTTGCGCCTTGGTGAAGCAGAAGAAGCCATTAAAATGCATCAACGTCAATTAAACTTAGCACGACAAGCCGCTGATCGTAGTTTAGAAGCAGCCGCTTACGGAGCTTTAGGAATTGCTCATAGAGCGACGAAAAATCTTGATAAAGCTCTTGGATTTCATACGCAAGAACTTACATTAAGACAAGAAGCTGGCGATTTACGAGGAGAATGTAGAGCTCATGGTAATTTAGGTGCCGTTCATATGGCGTTAGGTCAATATACTCATGCTGTTAAATGTTATCAAGAACAATTAGAAAGAGCTAAGGAACTGGCTGATTCTGGCGTTGAAGCACAAGCATTAGGTACGTATAATTATAAACAAGGTTTAACTATTTCATCTAACATTTATTTTGTTCCATTGATACAGGAAATCTGGGAATAGCTAGGCTTAATATGGCACATTATGAAGATGCAATTGGATATTTTGAACAACAATTAGCAACATTGGAACCATTGACCACGGGTACATCTTTACTTGACAAAGCTAGAGCACTAGGAAACTTAGGGGATTGTTATGAAGCCTTGGGAGATCCGGAAGAAGCTGTTAAATGTCATGAACAACAATTGGCCGCGTCTATAAAATTAAAAAGCATAAGAGATCAAGAAAGAGCATATAGAGGTTTAGGAAGAGCTCGCGAGGCATCAGGAAATTTACAAGAAGCGTTAGTTTGTTTTGAAAAGAGATTAGTAACCGCGCACGAAGTTGATAGTCCAGAAGCAAGAGGGGCAGCTTACGGCGATTTAGGTTTGCCAAATAATATATAATAATATAAATAATATTAAATTCTCATGCTTACGTTTATATTATATTCTTAAATCGATGATTTATTTTAACAGGAAGAGTACATGCAGCATTAGGAAATCACGAACAAGCTGTTAGTTGTTTGTCGCATCAACTCGCTCTTGCCAGAGGTCTTGGCGATAAAGCTGCCGAAGCTGAAGCTGCTAGTGGATTAGGTGCTGTTCATTTATTAATGGATGACCCTAATTCGGCATTAAGACATCATCAGTTAGAGCTTTCCATTGCCGAGGGTTTAAATGCTGCTGGATTACAAGCCAGGGCTTGTGCGAATTTGGCTATGACTCAGGAAGCGCTCGGCCAATACGAGGAAGCTATAAGATTGCAAGAACAATCATTGAGTTTAGCAGCTGCTGCTGGAGATCAATTAGCCCGAGCAGCAGCATTTTCCAGCTTAGGAAGATTACATCATTTGTGTGGTGACTTGTCAAGAGCTTTAAGCTACTTGCAATCAGGATTATCTTTATCCGAAGGTTTAGGAAGGAGAGAAGAAGCAGCTAGATTAAAATATAGACTCGGCCTTGTCCATTGGGAAGCTGGAGAAACAGCAACTTCTGTAGAACATTTGGAAAAAGCTGCTAATCTTTTGGAATCATTAGACGGATCATCTTCGTCCTTGATTTGCGGACAACCTAGCAAAAGCGAATTATTAACCGAAACTTATAGAATGTTACAAAAAGTATTGATTAGTTTAAATAGATCTGAGGAAGCGCTAAATTGGGCCGAAAGATCCAGACGATCTAAAAGCAATTCTTTGGATGATACGGCTCATTATTCGGAGATCGTAGATAGGCAAAGAGGAATGATATTGTATTATAGGTAAGCAAATCAATGAAAATACAATTAATAAGGTAAAAAATACAAGCAAAAAAATAAGATAAACAATCAACAAACAAATTGAAAATTTCAGTGAAGTGGGCAATCAGTTGCACGCATGGTGTTTAGCTCCAGGCCGAGGACTTTTAAGGTTTCATTCGACAACATTGGACGATGGTGTGACATTGGAACAAAAAGTGTTGCAAGCTCGCGAAGCACTCTTAGACGAATCCAATGAATTTGCAGAAGAGTCGACAAAAATACCAACGAGAGGACATCATCTAAATGCGAGTTCTTATAGTTTAAGCAGTCTATTTAGCGTTGGCTCGGTTAGTTCGCGAGCTGGAAGTGCACGTTGGGGACGAGGAGTTAAAGGACCCACTTGGCAATCGCCGTTACCTATTCAGTTGCTTTATGATTTACTCTTAGCACCGTTCGAAGATTTATTGCCTCCTGTTAGAAAGGAACTCATTATGGTGGTCGAAAAGTCTTTATATTTGGCACCATTTCCAGCTTTACAATCTAATCCAGGAGAAGATTATTTGTGCGAAAGATTTTCTTTATTGGTCGTACCATCGCTCGCAGCTCTTAAAAAAAGATCTAAGACACCTATGCCCGAGGGTGGTGCTACCGTGGCCGCTCTAGTTGCAGGAAATCCTACACTTCCGGAGGATGTTAGAGAGGAATATGGATGGCCGGAAAGTGCGGCTTCTACCGAAACTGAATCTGAAATCGTTGCTGAACTTTTAGAAGCGCGTGCTCTTATAGGTTTGATTCAAATTTCAAATGAAAATTTCATTAAAGTTTACATAAGTAATCTAAAAACATTTGTATATTTAAATTTCGTTGTTTCGTTGTTTTAGGAATGGAAGCTACAAGATCAGCAATTTTAAGATCTCTACCTGATGCGGAATGCGTACATTTAACTGTACCGGTATTTTGGAATTCTACAAGTTTAGCGCTTACTTCAGATCAATGCGAAGAAGGATCGGAAAAACCAGCATACTTGTTGAGCTCTTCGGATATTTTAAAATTACGAATATCCGCTAGATTAGTGGTAATATCCAGTGGACATTGTTGGAACGGTAACGAAAATACGACACCTTCGTCAAACGGTATACAGAATCTGACAAAAGCGTTATTAAATGCCGGAGCACAATGTGTATTAATAGGCATGTGGGCAGTTCCTCCTACAGCTGGTAGCATTTTATTGCGCGCATTTTATAGTGCCATGTTGCAAGGTGCTAGAGCGTCGAGAGCTTTGGCCGAAGCGATGCAAACCGTCCAACATACGCGACATTTCGCTCACCCAGCTAATTGGGCAGGGTGGTTACTAATCGGAGGAGATGCAAGATTATCAAATAAGGTTGCTCTTATGGGCCAAGCCTTAGCTGAATTATTACGCGGAGGACCTGAACAGAGTCGAGACGCTTTACGTGTAACTCTTCATTTGGTAGAAAAATCATTACAAAGAATACATCGCGGTCAAAAGAATGCCATGTATACGACGCAACGTAGTATCGAGAATAAAGTCGGAACAGCTGCTGGTTGGCGAGAACTTTTAATGTCCGTTGGATTCAGATTTGAACCAGCTGGAAATGGTATACCATCTTCCGTATTTTTCCCACAGAGTGATCCCGAAGAAAGATTAACGAGGTGTAGTGCTAGCTTACAAGCTCTTCTAGGATTAGGACCATCCTCGTTACATGCGCTAGCTAGGCTTTTACAGGTAAACATGAGCAATGTTTTAATTAATTTATCATTTTGTAATAATTTGTTGTCTGATTTAGGCCCCAGAAGCGGCAGAAGATGTTATCGCTGCTATGAGAAGAGCCAGTTGTGCTACCGAAGGACAAGAAATTTCTTTACCCGTACAAGTTTGGAGAGCACCCGGATCTCACGAATTGTTTGCAAGTTTAGGATTCGATCTTATGGAAGTAGGCCAATCTGAAGTTACATTAAGAACAGGAAAACAAGCTTCGCGTAGAGCTGTGCAATTCGCTTTGCAAGCACTCCTTGCTTTATTTGGTAAATTATTCTATTTGTATATTGATCGATATTTAACATTACAAATCTAACGAAATTTTCTTTATATCAGATACACAAGAGGCTCCAAAGAGTCTCAGCATAGATTCTAGCAGTTCGATGGAAAGCTTAGCATCGGTTGCACATACTGAAAAAAATGTTATAGAAAGGCCTAGATTAGGAGGAGCGTTTGCGAGTTACGTCCGACATCGTGGAGAACCAGATGGAAAAACTATGGAACCACTAAATATTCCAATTACCATATCTCGTCAGCAATGTCAAAGTGGCGGAGGTATATTGTTAATAATTTCAAATTATTCTTCTTACATTACGTTTTAAACTAATTTCACATACTTAATTATAATACAGGTGAATCGGATGTGGCTTTTACACCTAGTCCACCAGTGGCACTTAATTTGAATCATCAAACGCGTATAAGAAATTTATATCCCGATCAAAATGTAAGACCGGGATCAAGTTCAAGTAGTTCAGTGACAGATTGGGACAACGGCCATGCTACTGTTTTAAGACGACAACCACTGCCACCTTTACCAACGACCGTATTAGAAAGATTGAGCGTTAGAACGGAAGTTGGATCCAACACTCCTCGAAAACCACGACATCCTACATCCAGCGAAGATATTTGTTCTCAAACTGACTCGACGCAGGCAACAGAAACGCATCCACAAAACTTAAGAAATATAGCTACATCTTTAACAAGTTTAACACGCGAATTAACACCTACTATTTCCGAAGTATATCACGAGCGAAACTTGGGATTAGGTCTGGCTCCATCTTTGTCCAAATTGTTGGAAGAAGTTAGTTCTGTGCCTGAAAGGGAGGAAATTCAAACTTCTAGGACGAATAATAATAATAATAATAATAATAATAATAATAATAATAATCATAGTCAAACGCAAAATTGGATACAAAATGATACAGAATTATGTCGGAGGGACGAAGCTGATGGTAGATCGATTGCCGAATCGCAATGCAGTGCCACCAGTTCTAACAAAATTCATAGAAAGGCACCACCACCTCCAGTATAACATATATTTTTTTCACTATATATTTTTTGTTTATTTATATATTATATTTATGAGTACTATGTGAGAGAGAGAATAATCCTGGATAATAGTACTGGGTACCAAAGAATGGAACATATTAATTATAATCAGAGATACATTATCAACTTTTTATTCAATTAATAATATCAAAAATGGTTGAAGAAAAATCCCCCCCCCCCCAAAAAAAAAAGAAAGCATATCGACTAGATATACCTGATTTTTGTTTTGGTAGTTGCATGCAAAGAAGAAAAAGGGAAAAAGAACATAAGAACAATGTACTATATTATCTTTAAGAATATATAAAAGATACAAAGTTACTACTAAGATTCGTAATAGAATTTAACATGCAATACTTTTCGTTTTATTCTAAAAACAATTGATTCTTTTTAGAAGAATATTCTTTTGATTATTCTTCATTAATTGCGTTTCATACTTAACTATACAGTATTGTATTTCCCAGTAATTTATATTTTATGCGTATGTATTTTTCATTTTTTTCTTTGAATTAAAATGTTTTCACTCGATCGAGTGCATCTCTTCTTTGTAAAATTTCTTTAGATCAATGATTATGTATTTTCAACCAAAGGGTTGACAGCTATTTCATGCTTTACAATTACTTTTCAGTATTTAACGTAAATAAATTTTGTTATAGAAATTTATTTCGAATATTTACGATCGAACCTTCCAAAGGTAGAAGAAAAATATATTTTATATATTACAGGTATTAATACGAAATCCTCTTTTTTTTATTTTATTTTATTTTTTTTTTCCTTATAAGTATTCTAATAAAGTTTTAAATGCCCAGTTACTAAGTTAATCAATGTCACTGGCCCAGGGCCCACCGCGCATACAGTTTTACTTCCTGGAGCTATTTGCGTGTGTCCCGCATCTTGTATTACATTTGTCAATAGACCAATTTCTCTGGATGCTTTTGATACTGCTTTTAGTTCATCCTCACTATTCACCTAAACATTAGTTTTTTTTTTTTTTCATTAATTATCTTTTTATATAATTATTGCATTAAAAGTAACGCACAATGTGTCTATTTATATGTTTTCGGTTAGCTAATTAGATTATATTATTGTGACATGTATTCGTGCCGAAAGAGAAAATATAATAAAGGGAAAATATTGTTATGTTATATTATATTATATTATATTTTACTATAATGCTCATATTATCTTGAACTATATCGTCTGATAAAAGCTATATTATTATACGAGTCATATTAACAAGATAGACACGTATTGTTATGCAAATGCTAGAAAATTGTTTGTTCCATTCTTTCTTTTCGTGTAAATCATTAACCGTTTGAGTGCCAAACATTAGTAGGATCATTACGAACAATTACAAATAGTAGAATTATAAAACAATACCTTAACAGTAATTTTCATTTGACCGCATTTTTCCCAAGCTTTTAGAACGAGAGGATACTTTAAACAACTCTTATACGCTGCTACAGCTGCATGCGCACATTGAGCAGCAACCTTTCCTTTGCCCATTTTTAAGTCATTCCTTACAACTAATACTAATTTACATTCTTCATTAATGTTAAACCTTGCATATGGCTAAACAATAAAATTAATCAATAAGTTATATCTTATATTATACTAAATATCTTTCATTCAATAATATTCTATATACTTACAACAGTCGTCGAATTGTTTTTCGGCTCAGGTTTTTTAATCCACGGTACTCGATAAATTATATATTTATAGACAAAATAACCAGTTATGACACAAATTGCAAATCCATATTTGGAATCTATGCCATTATTAGAGATTAATTTTATAATATCCATTTTTGTATAAAATACTGTAAAAAGATTTAATAAGAAAAACAAACAAACACCATTTCATCAAAAATTAGTGTAATATATTAGATATTTTTTATACCTGTAAAATATTTTATCAAAAATTTGTCTTCTTTCTTATAATTGTTGTAATATCTTCTTTCTTTTGAAGGCTTATTGTTAAAAGATATTTAACAAATCATCTGTGATCTAAGGATAAAATAGATGTTTATGTTACAAGTGTGTGAAGTGGCAGTTATGGCATGAGTTTTATTTCCTGAATGAGCCGACAGAGTGTGAATAATTTGCAGAACTCGTCTCTGATTCTTTTGTGACAATACAATAAATGATAAAATTAACTTAGATTATTTTCATATGCATAATAGTACTTTATTTTAGTTAAAACAATTATTATATATTAAAATCGACTATTATAATCACGTGTATTCCAGATGCTTAAAGAAACGATATCATATACATATGTACAACATATAATACAAATCCATTTTAAAGACCAACACACATTGAATAATGAAATATAAGAAAAATAAATAAAATGACAAGACAAGTTTTCATGAAAATTAAATTAAAAGTTCATATATTTATACTTTATAGATAAGTAATAAATACTAAATCTATATTGATGAATAATAATAGAATATAAATATAATATAAATAAAAGAGAAATATAATTCATTTAAAAATATTAACTTTTTCGCACTCTCGACGTTTATTGGTTGATACATTTTAAATGAGTTTAAATCGACTAATCAAATATTAGATCGTTTTAAGATGAAGATGAAAGATGTAAGAGAAGAAAGGAAGCATTAAAAATAAAAAATAAATGAAGTAGAGATTTGACAGAAAGAAGGTTTCTTCTTTCTTGTATACATATATGATTTTGGTACGTTCAACATTCATACGCGGTTCAACAAACACTCAATGTGGCGCTTGAGTTTGGAAGGTTATGGATTAATACATCGGGGTGTGGCATCATATCGTGATTTATAAAACGAATTAAATGTATTGTGCGTGTAACATTGAATGAAATAATTATTTGTCAGAAGGATATATAAGAAGTTATCATTAGTCAGTAAGTTTCGCGCGTTTTTGGAAAAATTCGATGGACGTTGAACTTTACTTCGACAACTTGAATACGTGAATCGTTTCCATTTTTTTTTTTTATATATATATATACATATTTGTATTTTTAAGCAAGTAACGTTTTTAAGTATTAAAATAATATAATCTAAAGCATATCAAAAAGGGGGAACAATGTTTGGTAATCAACGTTGAAATGAAAGACAACGAATAGGGAGGAAGTGTTCGTGTCATGTTTGTGAAAAATTTTGTTTTGATATATTTCCAAATGAAAAGAAGTTATTACTTGTTGTTAAGATATATTGATTGTTATTGAAAAGGATATTATAGTCCATGAAATCACGTTCATCAAATACTACGTGGGATGTTGGGCCCTACCACCCTCATTCAATCCCACGAATATACAGAAATGTCTCGTTTAGCCGACTACTTTGTTGTAGTGGGCTATGATCATGATAAAGAAAGTAAGTTATCATTACATTTGTTTCTTAATAAACAGTAGGATAATGACATTGTAATATTATAGGAGCTGGTATTAGTAGTGGGATTATTCTGCAAAGATTTCCAGAAAAAGATTGGCCTGATACGCCATTTATCGAGGGTATAGAATGGGTAAGATTGTCATTTAATCAGGTCCTATGTGATTGGTCCTATATCATTGATACCTGTTGTATTTAATAGTTTTGCCAACCGCAAGGATGGGCTTTGTCTACGGAAAGACAAGAGCCACGCTTCTTCGTATCCATATTAACGGATATCGATGCCAATCGTCATTATTGCGCTTGCATGTGTTTTAATGAGACGGTTTCTATAATGCCAAGTAAACCTGTAGACGAAGAGGAAGAACCTGTTGACAATGATAGCCGTTCTTTGGTTAGATCGATGCCCTCCATCGCACACCATAGCATCATGTATGCTCCTAAATGTCTGGTGCTGGTCTCCAGATTAGATTATATTGAGACCTTTAGGGTATGTTCTATATTATTGAAAAGAATTGATTAGAAAACAAACAAAACTGTATAAAGAAACGACAAGATTTAATAATGATAACAAAATGTTTGTTCTTTTTTTTTTAGAATTGTCTTGGCATTATTTACACAGTATATGTAGAAAATCTTGGAATACCATTAGAAACATTAGTAGGAAACATATTAGGATGTATACAAGTACCACCAGCTGGAGGACCACAAGTACGGTTTAGTATTGGAGCTAGCGATCGTCAGGCTCTTCAACCACCGATTAGTCCTTCACTTCCAATAACTCATACTAGTGTAAATCTTTTGTTTCAACAATTAGGTATGTACGAACAATTGCAATTCTATATTTATGGATACAATCGAATATTATTTATTTCAAATATTTCTAATCTATAAATTGTCTTGTTGTTTATTTAGGCATTCGCAACGTACTAGTGTTATTTTGTGCAGTTATGACAGAACATAAGATACTCTTTCATTCTGCGAGTTATTCTAGATTAACGGAAGGATGTCGCGCTCTAACTGCATTGATGTATCCATTCAGATATACACATGTTTACATTCCTCTTCTACCTGCGGCTCTAGTCGAAGTACTCAGTACACCTACGCCATTTATTATGGGTGTACACAGTTCGCTCAAGCACGAAGTTGCAGAACTTGTAAGATTATTATAGCTTATCGTTTAATTTACGAATAATATTCACTTAATATTATTTCTACAAATATCATTTGGTTTAAACGCAGATGGACGTGATAGTAGCTGATTTAGATGGCGGATCTATAATGGTTCCCGATGGAGTATCACTTTCTTTACTCCCGGAACCACTTCTTTCGCAAACTCAAGATGCACTGTCTCTTGTATTACAACCAGAACTTGCTTGCGCAGATTATGCATTTCCTCCTCTCGCTACAAGAGCTCCTCATCCTCCGATGTTAGATAAAGAATTAAGAGCAGTATTTATGAGAGCTTTTGCTCAATTGCTACAGGGTTATCGCAGTTGTCTTACGTTAATACGAATTCATCCTAAACCAGTTATTACTTTTCACAAGGTCATTATTATCTTACATTATTTTTTCTAATACTTTTACTTTTATGTATACAAGTGCACATTATATATTACGTTAATGTTTATATTTGTAGGCTGCTTTCTTGGGAGAACGTGGTTTAACAGATTGTGACTTTACAACAAGAGTTTTAGATTGTATGTTTTTTACATCTTTTATCGCAGAAAGAGGCCCACCGTGGAGGCCTTGCGATGTATGGGATGAATTGTACAGCAGTTTGAGCGACCAATTAAAACAAGAAGCACAAGATCAGAGTCAGTATCGATAAATTCTACAATACCATTGATATTATATTCATTTGAAATACTAAGATTTTGCTTTTACATTCTAGGACTTGTTTTAACGCATATTCAAGAACTTGCGCAACAATTGTATACGAATGAAAATCCTAATCCTCAGCCATATGTACAAAAAATTTTGAAGCCACCAGAAGGAGCCTTTGCAAGAATTCATCAACCTCTTTTACCTCGCGTTAATCCAGAGCAAGTACAAGCAATTATAGACGAAGGTCTTGCCAAAAACAATTTAAATGTTAGGTGTGTATATAATATTTCATTAGTTTATAGTTTGTATATAATAATATAAACATAAATGAATTTGTTTTTTTCATGTCACTTAGATTAACATCACTAAGGCCAATTCAACCACGTATTGTACCTATAGGGCCACACATTTCATTTGTTCATGACACTAGACACTTGGTGAGCAATTCAGCACGCAGATTAGAAGTTCTGCGTAATTGTATAAATTGTATATTCGAAAATAAGATATCAGACGCACGTAAAACTTTCCCAGCAGTTTTAAGAGCGTTAAAAAGCAAAGCTGCTCGATTAGCTCTCTGTATGGAATTATCTCAACACGTTGTCGGTAATAAAGCCATGCTAGAACATCAGCAATTTGATTTGGTAGTGCGATTGATGAATTGCGCGTTACAAGATGATTCCTCGATGGACGAACACGGCGTGGCTGCTGCTCTTCTTCCTCTTGCAACTGCATTTTGTAGGAAACTATGTACGGGTGTCATACAATTTGCCTACACTTGTATTCAAGAACATCCTGTATGGCAAAATCAACAATTTTGGGAAGATGCATTCTATCTGGATGTACAGAAGGATATAAAACGTTTATATCTACCAGGCGATAATTCTCCGCCAAGACTCACAAACGATAGCATTTTAAATCCTATCAGTCCACGAGAAAATAAGGAATTTCCATTTCGCGATCGTTATTCTATATATCAAACTCATGAACCCTCGGCTTTAGAAATTGCCGCCGAACAAATGAGAATTTGGCCGACCATTGATCCGGATAAGCAAAAAGAACTTATAGCGAGTGAAGAAAGTACTATGTATAGCCAGACTATTCATTACGCCAATAGAATGGTATATTTATTAGTTCCTCTAGATATCGGTGCAAAAACTCATCGTCAGGATAACGTGTACGACGACGAAAGAGCTAGTAACAGTATTACAAACAGGTATGAATTTTTTCTATATGTACATTTTAATTGTCATTAAGACATTTTCTCTAGATATTAAATTGTTTATGGATATAAGTGTTGCAAGCGATAGCGGTGATGCAGAGTCCGGATTCGAGGAAACTGATCCTGGAGAAACTGGTAGTGCAGTTATACGCATGGTTTCAAGATTCGTAGATCGTGTTTGTACCGAGGGAGGTGTTAGCGCCGAACACGTTAGGTGTCTTCATCAAATGGTTCCTGGCGTTGTTCATATGCATATTGAAACTCTTGAGGCTGTGCACAGAGAAAGCAAGAGGTTGCCACCAATACAGAAGGTAGTATAATATATCAAATATAATATATGTATATTATATAGAAATGTAAAAAATAACAAATCATATTTGTTTTGCAGCCTAAGATCTTGACACCCAATATGTTACCAGGCGAGGAAGTTATTATGGATGGTTTGCGTGTATATCTTCTACCAGATGGTAGAGAAGAAAGTTCCGCAGGCCTTCCCAAAATACCACCATTGTTGCCAGCAGAAGGAGCTATTTTCCTTACCAATTATAGAATTGTATTCAAGGGAATACCGTGCGATCCATTTGGTAATTATTAATTATTTCATTATTTCATTATTTACAAATGATTGAAAGTAACTTTGATTTTTTTAATAGCTTGCGAGCAACTAGTAGTTAGAGCTTTTCCCGTTACATCGTTAACCAAGGAAAAGCGTGTTACCGTACAACACTTGGCGCATTTAGATCAATGCCTTCAGGAAGGACTGCAGTTACGCTCGTGTACATTTCAATTGATCAAATTGGCATTCGACGAAGAAGTTACGCCGGAAAATATAGAAACATTAAGGAAATTAGTTCACAAAGCACGGTACCCGCCGCATATATTTCATCATTTTGCATTTAATGGTCAAGCATTCGTTACACAGACTGCCCATCATAAAGGAAAAGAAAAAAATGCTACACTGAAGTAAGCTTAACGTAATAGAAATTACAATTGTTGTATTAATTTATTTTGTTTCATATTTAAATTGATTTTACAGAGGTTTTGCCAAGAAGACTCTCTTAAAGACAGCAAGAAAAGCTGGTTTTAAACCAAAACAATCGTCCAAAAGGCAAAAGTATGTTTTACCAAATATGAATTTAATGACCAACAATAAATACATGACATTGCCTGGTCGAATGAGTTTACCGGTCACCGATAATAATGATTTAAGTCACGACGATGATCTCAGCAGTAAGTTATACAATTACATTACTATAGGAATTCATGAAATGACTAATAGTTAACACGTTCAATATTTAATATCGACAGTTGATGATTATGAAATACCAGGAATTGTAAGTCAGCCTCCAACCGATGCAAAGACCCTGGAACGTCTTTCTGAACGTAGTTATGTTAGAGATTGGTATCGATTGGGTTTATATGCCAATGGACCATATAACAATCGACGAAACGAGCCTTTCCGATTATCTTCTGTGAATTGTGCATATATGATTTGCAGAAGTTATCCAGCTCTTCTTATAGTTCCTACATTTGTGTCGGATGAAAATATCCGAAGGTTTTGTCGGCTTTATCGACATAGTAGAATTCCAGTTATTACTTGGAGGCATCCAAGAACTAAAGCACTTCTTGTCAGGGGTGCTGGTTATCACGGTAAAGGCGTCATGGGTATGTTGAAGGCTCATCCAACGTCTACCGCTAATTTAAAAGGTATAAATGAAATAAATGAATAAATTTGTAAATAAATGAAATCAAAGCATTTTGTAAATAAATCATATGTCATGATTACAGCAACTTCATCAGAAACAACGTCTTCCTTGGAGCAAGAAAAGTATCTTATGGCTCTTGTAGCTGCTACTCCTTTATCTGTATTACGGCAAGGTTCAGCTTGGGGCATGTCCGATTCCTCTCTCAGCATAGATTCATTATTATTAGCTGCGGAGGATCGTAATGCCACTCCCGAACAAACTAGACGAAATCCTTTTAACAAAGCCATAGGTACATTAGGGTATGTTCTTTTTTATAGTAATATTATTATATATTGTTTATGATGAAAATAATAATATAGCTTATCTTTATCTTAATAACTTAAGATCATCAGGCGGTAAAGGAGCCAAAAATTTTGGACGATGGGGTTCACTCAAAGATAAAAGGCATAATTCTCAAGCTTCGTTAACTTCTGTTCACCAACGTGGTACGGTGAGACATTCTGCTGACTCGGATAGCGGAACAGAATGTGTTCATACTTTTCAACGCGCCGCCCTTTATATTCTTGGAGAAAAATCTCACATGAAGGTAATTAAATATAAACAGTTTGTTGATTATGTGCAATTTATTTCGATATAAATGTGAATATTGTTTGTTAAAAGGGTGTTAAAGCGGAATCAACTCCTAAAACTGATTTTATACCAGTAGAATATTTTGACGTTAGGCATACCAAAGCTGCATTTAAAAAACTTATGCGAGCATGTGTTCCAAGTTCTCCAAATGTTGAACCTGATCAAAGCTTTTACAAGTAAGTCTACTAACTTTGTAAGAGAAATCGATATCGATATAGAATATATTTCTTGATGAAACATTTTTCTTTTATTTAGATTAATTGAAAGTTCAGAATGGCTACAACAATTACAAAATTTAATGCAATTATCCGGAGCCGTAATAGATTTGATGGACGTGCAAGGTTCATCAGTGGCAGTTTGTTTAGAAGATGGCTGGGATACGACAGCAACCGTTTGTTCAGTTGCTCAAGTTTGTCTCGATCCACATTACAGAACTATTGAAGGTTTTCGAACTTTGATAGAAAAAGAATGGCTTGGTTTTGGTCATAGATTTGGCCATAGGAGTAATTTAGCTGCGAATTCACAAACGACCAATTTCACGCCTACGTTTCTTCAATTTCTCGATATAATACATCAAATTCAAAAGCAGTTCCCATTGGCATTTGAATTTAATGATTATTACCTCAGATTTTTGGCATATCATTCGGTGTCTTGCCGATTCCGCACATTTTTGTTAGATTGTGAATCTGATAGAGTTGAGTGTGGTATCGCTGCAGTAGAAGATAAAAGAGGTTCTTTGACGAGCCATCACAAAGGTGTAGATACTGGTAGCGACGATGACACTATTTATCCTGGTGGTAGATTAGTTGGAACGAATACTGGTTGTAACTTAGGTCAGAGTATATTTGACTATATCGAAAGACAAAATGCAAGGTGTCCTCTGTTTTATAATTTTATGTATTCGCCAAATACTGAATATTGCGTTCTGAGACCAGTTTCACATTTACCAAATCTCGATATTTGGCAATATTATTTAGAAGAAGAATTGGCCCATGGCCCGGCTTACGATTTGGAGGTTTTACAACAAGATTCTCAACAAGAAGAAGAAGCCGAGGCTGCCGATGGTATTGTCAAGAGTAATAGAAAAGTAGTTACGCAAGGGTAAGTATCATCTCAATCAGTCAATCAGAAATTGGACATTCCTATTTCAAACATATTTTTGTCCATATTTTAGATATGATGGAGTTAATGTTATGGTACCTGATCAATTTGCTCATCTTTTGGAAGAAATTCATAAATTAGAAACTGAATTGGGACATTTACCGCAAAAATGGAAAGTTCTTTGGGATAAACTCGAATTACCTAATACGGATTCTTTGGCCGTACGTATCTCACCATAAAAAGAAACAAAATATCTATGTCTTTTTTGACATTTTAATTAATAGTCATTTTTGTTATTATTTTTTGTTTTCTTTAGCGACACGCGTCATTTAGTACAGCACTTGTAAGATATCACGGTAGATTAATACATAAACGTTCTACTTTCGAACTTTTATTAAGAGGAAAATTAGCTGGCGGAAATACAGCCGGTAACGAAGGCTCCGTTTATGCGCACCCGCACAGGTAATTATACATTGAAATTATATTCAACCAATTGAATATTTCTTTTGTTTCTTTTCTTTTTCAAAGGTTTGACAGATTAGATTCAGCGACTCCGACTCATTGCGATGCGTGTTCCGGTGTTCTATGGGGACCCGTAAAAGCTGGTTTGCGATGTGTCGATTGTGGTCACGTTTGTCATGATAAGTGTGCAGATGCGGTGCCAAAAAATTGCACAAAATACAAAGCAGTAACTGATAATTTACAGACTCATACTCTTACGCGAAGCGGAGGAGATAATGGAAGTGTTAATTCGAGTAAGATTATTAACTCGAATTATATAATAATTCGTTTAAATATAAAAATATCATTGATGACATATGCGTCGTTTATATTTGTAGGCGTAACCACGATACAAACATCATCGCAACAATATTACGATCAATTCTCCAGTAACGTTGCAGAAAATAGGACTCACGAAGGATATCTTTACAAACGAGGTGCTCTGTTAAAGGGTTGGAAACAAAGATGGTTTGTGTTGGATTCTATCAAGCATCAATTAAGGTATTACGATGCAATGGAAGATTCCCATTGTAAAGGGTATATAGGTATGTTATATTTGTACAAGAGACAAGTTTTATGTTAATACAATTAAAGAATAATTTTGTCAAAGATGTATTTGAATGTATAAAAAAACGTGTATTATTAAATATGACAGATTTGGCAGAAGTTGTGTCTGTAACTCCAGCTGCGCCGATGCCAGGACCACCAAAGAAAACAGATGACAAATCATTTTTTGATGTAAGATGCATAAATGCAAATTTTGTCTAAAGTATCGTACGATTAAGTCAAATGTTTCTTCATATTTTTAGCTTCGTACAAATCGAAGAACATACAATTTTTGTGCCGGTGATGCAGCGACCGCGCAAGAATGGATCGAGAAGGTCCAAGCATGTTTACAGTAACACCTTTGCTTGATCATCATATTTTCATTTAAATTGTGCAAGTGACTGATAGAATAATACAAGTTATATTTTTGTTATATAATCTTGTATAGACTGCGATCATTTTATTTTAAGTTTTTCAAACTTGACAATTTTTCGAGAGAACAGAGGTATTATAAAATTGCTAGTGTTGTACTATCATTATCGTCGCATCGTAGATTTAATATGTCAAAGTAGAGAAAAAGAAAGAGAGAAAGAGAATGCGTGTGTACATTGTGATCACGCTAGTGCATTAAGTTAAAAGTGTTAATTTCAGCTGGAAGAGGAGAGATCCGCTGTATTTGCTTTGTAATATCTTTTTTTTTTTTTATTATTTTACTTTGTTTATATTTACGTTAAAAAGTATAAGTGAAAATCATAAAATATATATGTAAATGTCAAAATGTTAGGTTTAAACACTCTGTATATATATATATATATACACACATATGTATGTGTGTGTCTATCTCTTGATGTAATATTAATGTAACGTTATTACTACTTCATTGTTATTATTAATATTTAAATCCTCTGATATGATTTTTAAAAAGCATTGAAACGTACACAACCATTGTTTCAATTGTTCTACACGAATATATTTAATTTTTTATTTTATTTAATAAGTCAATCTGGGGGCTCGTCAATATTCTATAAACCCCCCATAAAAGCCATAATGGATTGCTGAAGTGACTACGTTAAAACCGCGTGAGTTTCTGTATAGGTCAGAGCAGCATTCGAGACGCGTCTACGTTAAGTCGAATCAACGATGATGTCCCAAATAGGATCTATGCTCAATTTATTCAATGATGCGTCAAACCCAGGGTGCAGCAGGCAGCCAGACAGAGTACTACCGCAAGGTACATGAACTAATCGTCAAAAATATATATATATATATACATATACATGTATATACGGTGAATAAAATGTTAAAAGTGGATGAAACAATGTTTAGATATTTTAGATAAAAACAAAATTATATACACATGCATTATTTTATTCTATCGAATGAAATCTTGAAATGCGAGTACGCAAGAAATAAAATAAGATGCCAGGAAGAGGGGAGGAGATAGATAATACTTACACGTCGTCTATAAATCGCATCTTCTGTGTGTGTACATTCTGCGCACTTTAATACTAAAAGTAAGCCACTAGGAGAGAATATAGGCCAAGGTCTCCAATACGATAGTTTAGTACGGAAGGTGCGTATTTCCAATACAGAGTGCACTACCGTATATCCTAACAATTTATCTATGTCGATAATGAATATTTTTCTTCCTCCTATTTCAACATACGTTTAATTAAATAATTCAATAGAAACATTTCCTATATATATATATATATCTATATTATTTTTTCTAAATACCTCAACATTAGGGTTCATTAATTCAATCAATGAAATAACATTGAAAAATATCCAAAATAATTCGATAATCAATTAAAATGGAAATGATTCATTATAATAATTAAATGAATCATTAATTCATTATTTCTTCATTCGCACACTTTTTTTTTGCGTCGGTAATGAATCAAAACCCCCTCTCTATCGATTGGATCATCCCCCTCCTACCATCGACACCTGACGAAAGGTATCTATCCAGCGCTTAGGGGATCTTGCTTAGGATCTTGATTAGCGTGACAGTTTCGCAAGATGAACGTCATCAAATAGAACAAAACTATTTATGACACGATCTGAAAATATGTACGTCCAGGTTTTTTTTAATTGAATTTTTTGTTTGTTTTTTTTTTACTCGCACACACACACGCACGCACTATGTTCTTAATAATACGCATACGTATGCAGCACGCTCTTACATATCTCGTCATGGATATAATGATCGATAGAAAAGGACGAGAAGCAGGTGTGTCTTTTTCTTCTTTTTATTTTTTTCGTACGACACATCATTGCCGCCGTCACAGTCTCCTTGTTTCCCTTTTCTTTCTTGCTTTCTTTCTTTTCTTATTGTTAGTTTATTATTAATGATAACACACAGGTACAATTAATATATATCTTCTATATATTGGAGTGCATATAAAATGCATTTGCAATTTTTATAATGGGAAAATTTGAGTAATGAATTGTTCCGCTTCGGTACAGTAACGATTGCATAAGTATACGTAATACAATGGCAATTGGAAAAAAACAAGCAAAAGAAAAAAAGGAAGAATTACGTTATATCTTTTTTAAATGCTATTGTTTCGTTAAGATCGTTGACATATCCTCGAAAAAAGATGTCCATTTGTTTTTTAAACAGATAGATACATAAATATACATACGCTCATAAATGTCAAATATTTCTTTTGCAAAAGAGAAAAGTAGAGACGAAGATAATGCGTACGTTTATATATATATATATATATATATTTCTAAAAATAGTATAGTATTGGAAAAAAAAGAAAAATATATATAGTTGATTGAAAAGGTAACACAATCTCTCGTTAGACGATTATTGATAAGCATAATGATGATTTAAAGAAATACATATAAATTATTCGATTAAACGAATGTGGGTTTTCATCAATCATTCATTGATAAAATAGTAATGATGAAAAAAGTGTGTGGTGTCGTGGTGGATGATGCATCAGTAAATTAATCAGTTAGTTTCTCTCTCGCTTCCTCATAAGCTGGCCCTCCCATCCTCCCCTTCACTCTCCAGTGCACTCATTCCGTTTCTTTCTAAAGCGATTATGAATCCGACTCTTTCTGTTCCTTTCTAAAGCGATTATGAATCCGACTCTTTCTGTTCCTTTCTAAAGCGATTATGAATCCGAAAGCGACTATCCTAACTCTATCGCGTGCCGCATTGCGCGTCTATTCCTGCGCAAGCTCAATGCAGGGGAAGAGTTAGACACTGAAACTTTTCCAAAACTTTCCTTACAAAGTCCAAACCCATATTAAAATATCCCAAAGTGGGGATATTTAATACACCAATTTGATGAACTTTTTGCAAAAAGTTATACATTGATTTTTGTCCTTTATTATATGCTGTGCATCTATGTATGTATGTAGTATATATAGTATATAATAGGAAGACGCAACCCGCGTGCTGTACAGACATCGAGGAACATAAAGAAAACTCGTCCGTTCAATTAGATGGAACGTGTCTGTGTGTTTGTGTGTGTGTGTGTGTGTAGTTCGCATCGTTCTTAGCGCATTATAGCACACATAGTATGTGGTGTACTGCTGCAGAGCTTACGACTATGCGTAAAATACGAAGAACCAAAGAAGACCATCCATTATCCTCCTACTCTTGTCTTCTTCTTCTTCTTCTTCTTTATTTTCCCCCTATACATTTTTAATCACTTACGTAACTTTAACATTTCCTTCGACCCCCACCGACACTTTAACCTTACTCTTAATCTTTTATTTCTTTCTTACTCGAAATGAAATGCTGAAGAAAGCCATATCAAGACCTCCGGCTACTCTCATATGTGCCACGTCCAATTTTCTGATCTCATTACCAATCCTCCTCGTGAAAAGTTAAGAGTAATCGTCGTTCGATTTCTTTTTCTTTTTCTTTTCCCTTTTCTTTTTTCTTTTTTTTTGCCCTATGGTTTCTGACGTGTGTGACACAGTTTTTTTTCTTTTTTTTTTTTAAGACTCCTCCACCCAGGTCGATCGATCCAAAGGAGAAAAACAGTAGCGCGATTTTGGTCTGGTCTCCTCTCCTCGTTTGACGAGTACGTCGACTCGATAAATAAACATAGAATGATCGTTATTAAGAAGGGACGTAAATACATACTGTATATGCGAAAGGTTATAGAATACATACAATACATATGTATATTACAAGAGACAAAAGGGGATGAGAGAGAGAGAGAGAGAGAGAGAGAGGGAGAGAGGGAGAGAGAGAGAGAGAATTTATCGATCATGTTTAAAAGGTTGTCGCACTGCACGCAAACTGAAAGAAACCTAGAACCTCTCATTTTTTTCTCTTTCTAAGGGCGAGATAGATTTTTTGCAAAAGTTTTAGGTCAAGTACGGTATTAGTAGCTACGAATAGAAACCCGAATTGCGATTAATCGTTCACTTGGGAGAAGAAGAGTCAAAAACATTTGATGCAAGTACACTTTAAAATCATATAACGTTCACGTTTATTAGATTTTTCCTTGAAAACTATTGCAAATAATAATAATAATAAATAACTATATTGCATTAATAATACTAAATATTGATCGTTATCTAAAAGCATAAAGTATTAGATCTCTACGTAGCGTTCTTCTCGAAATTCACCCTTAGACTAGCTCGTTGTCCTCTATGAAAGTTCTTTCATTGAAACTTGTTTATATGACTTTTCGGTAAAGGAAATTCTATTTATTATGAATATTATTCACGTTATAAACATGCGCAACTTTCGGAAAGTCATATAAACAACATTTAATAAAAAAAACTTTGATAGAAGATAATGTGCCAGTCTAACGGGGGATTCCGAAGAAGAAGGCACATCAAAAGGTAAATCCATGTTTTTAGATTACAATATACATTTTCTTCGATTAATTAACAATCATTCAAAGTATATGATACTCTACTAATATTTTGGATTGTTTTGACGTTCCCTATATCTCAATAGTTTTCAAGCAAAAATCTAGTAAGCGTAACAGTGTAAGATTTAAAGGGACACTTACTGTATGTGTCTTTAAATATAATAATCGCCCCTTGGCTCTCTCTCTCTCTTTCTCTCTTTCTCTCTTTCCCTGGTGCAGGCCAATCTCCTTTTTCAATTTATATCTGCCTTCCTTCCACCCTTGCCTACCTACCTACCTACCTACCTTCTTGCTTGTTTGCGTACTACAGCTTGTATGCAGGATACTGCGTACCGTCTCGAGTTTCGAAAATACACGCCTTGAGTGTAAATTATGCCGAAGCACTTAGGGGTAGATAATAGCATCTCTCACGTTTTATTCCCCGCGTGCACGAAAGACACTTTCCGAATGGAATTTTCAGTGACATTTTTTCTTTTTTCTTATTATTTTATCCCTCCGCCTTTATGTTCTCATTGGTTAATAGCTTATTTGTCATATATAATTATTTATTTATTTATTTATTTATTTATTTATAGATGTCTCTTTTCAACGTAACCGACAAATTGGAGCTTGCATATTGGAGAAAGTCTAATAATATACAATTGTAAAAGACGGAAAGGCACTTTGAAGGAGAACTAGAGGAGAGAAAGAGAGGGAGCAATAGCGCGCCGAGAAAGGCAGGAGGGGCTAAGGGAAGGAGAAGGGCGGGATGATAGCATTGCAGATGTTACGACGATGCCCCCCTTTACTTTTTCATTCAACGCCGCATAGATGACATCCGTCAAAACATCGATTAGTTGTTACACCATATCGTTGAATAAAAATTAGAAGATCGAAGGAAAGATAGGAAGAAGAAGAAAGAGGTGATGGAGGAGGGTTGGTTTGCGTGTACGGACCAAGTAATCGATATAGAAGTATCTAGACCTCTTGTCAGTCTTATTTTACTTAACGACGAAACAACTAACAAAATTATATTACTACGCCTAACTATTTGAATCTGCGGATCTATTTTCTTAAGGGATGCTTTACCCTCTGACAGACTCTAACCCTATGCTTTTAAAAATGATAGAGAGCTTTAACGTTCAAAGTGTTTAAGGGTTCATACCCTTATAACACTATTCCTTCAAAAGGTCGTACAATCTATCGTCTAATATAAACGAGTCAAAGAGTTATCTCGATCATATTGAAGAAAAATCGAGAATATAGATAAGAGTAAAAGGGCAAGGGAAAAGTAGGGTTCTTAGTATGTATATAACACAAAGATAAAGAAAATTAACTTTGGGTGGTCCAGAATCGGAAAGGAAGTAAAATATGAAGGGGAAGATGCAAATGGGAAGGAAGAAAGGAAGGAAGGAACAGGTACGACTTTGACCTGGTGCCTGATCGTCCCAACGATGTAGATGATGTTGTAATGATGGGGATGACGATGACGATATCAAGGAATAAAAGATGAAAAGGAGAAGGACATCGTCTACGTCTATGACTACGACTACGACTACGACGACGACGACGACGACGACGACAACTACGACGACGACGACAACTACGACGACGATGACGATGACGACGACGACGACGACGACGACGACGGGGACAAGTTTGGCGGCGGCAACTGCGGCGATGATAGCAGCGGCAGTGGCGGCGGCGGTGGTAGACCGCGCGCGGCTGCCTGACGCATTGCAGGTGCGCGCTGGCCAATCACAGGGCCGTTTAGTTCGCCCGGACTTGTCCTGTAAACATGGGACCGCACCCACCCCGCATGCGAAACGTCTTCGCAAGTCCGAGGGAGGAAGCCTCGTTGCGGGGCTCGACGTGGAGCTTGCGTACGTTTCCTTCTCGAAACGCGTCGAAGGGACGCACGTACGACGTTCTTTTCGCACGTAGGAAGTCCTTACCGGTGCTAGTTCTCGCGCGCGTAGCAAACGGCGCGCTCCTGAGTGGCGCGTACGCTACACCTTTCCCCGCCTACTGGACTCTTGGCAGGTCCGATTGGTTGGCGCTCTTAGTGCTGAGTGGTGGGGGTTGGCCGGCGTAGTGATACCCGGCCGGCCGAGACTTGCGGCAGAGCCCTCGCACACCGATAGAGAACCGTGGACTCCATTGCTGTCCTGAGTGCGTTTCTCGTCGGCCGCTGGTGTCGTATCGCTGTGTCCGTCGTCGTAGTCGTCGTCGTCGCCGTCGCTTTGTCTATTTCTCTGTCCGGTATATTTTTGCTCTCTCTCACTGTCTGTCTGTCTGTTTCTCATCTTTCTCTTTCTATCTCTATCTATCTCTCTCTCTTACTCTATCTCTCTATACGCCGCGCCCGTTCGCGCACGCACCAACACACACATAAATATAATATCTATTCTCTTCTTCTTATCCTTTTATTCTCGCTTGCTTCTTCAATTCCCTCTGCGCAATTATAATATATACGCCGTATACTCGTCGTTACGAGGAGGACGATATTGTGAATAATACCGCTCGCTCTCTCTCCCTGTGTCTAGTGTCTCCATACGGCTAAAGCTCCGTAACTTTCTCGAAGGAACCTGAGAAAAGAAGCAAAAAGGAGTGACAAAAATGGTAAGTCACCATTTTTTCATATTGTTCTTCTTTTATTTCTATTTCGCGATATCTTATTAATTCACAAACGAGCCTATGAACAAACGGACGGACGGAAGGGAAGTTAAACTCTCTTGTAAACCCAAACCAACGACTATTCAACGACTATTGTTTTTTTTTCTTTATCTATCCAATTCATCTATTTTTCATGTGACTTTTTTTTCTATTTGCCCTCTCTTTTTCACTCTATCAATCAATCTATCCATCCATTTCTTTTAACGTCGTTGACGCGCCACCGAGCGTGCACGTGCCAGTGAACAATCTGCATCATTGAAGTTCTAATCCCCCTTTTACAAAGTATATACCAAAAAGCATGCATATCTCTTTTCGTATCTCGTTAAACTTGTTCGTATTATTCGTGGTCGTTACCGTTACCAATGCCGTTGTTATATCGTCATCATCGTCATCGTCATAGCTCCTTTTCTATCATCGAGTAACGGCAAATAGGAATACTCGTCGCAACGATGGCAGCAGCAGCCGGCTCGAGCCGGGATCATATCGGGATATCGTGTCGGATATCCTCTCTTTCCACTCTCTCTTTCTCTTTGCGTGGTACATCGATCCGTTCTCTCTCTCTCTCTCTCTTTCTCTTTATCTCTCTCTTACTCTCTTATTTTCGCTCTGCTACCTCCTATTAAAGTATGTAACCGATTTTTTATACTTGAGTGATGGCGACACGTCCATTAAAAGCGTCATTTTATTTTCAACAAAAAAATTCAACAATGCATACATATATACATACATATATATGTATATATATATAGACGTATTATAATTCATTTCCTTAAAAAAGAATAGACGAGGAAGATGAAAAGAGGGTAAAAGCATCGTGTCGCAGCCGGCGAAATAACGCCCTTATGTGCTCGAGAAACCGTGTTAACGTGTATAACGGTCAGATCGATGACGAGCATATCGCATACGCACGACTTGTTTTAGTTTGAAGTTGTTCCACTTTTGTGAAACTCGACATTCAATGCTATTCGGTTAATCGTCTTAAAATCACTATTTTTCATAACAAAAAGCAACTTACAAATATCATCTCTTGTTTCTTCTGACCAGTCCTCTTTCCCCGTCTGTCGGGGGTTTTTTGTACGGTATAGTTGGTATTGCTGTAGTTAGTTTCTCATTCTTGTTGCTTTATTTTTCTTTATCGTGATGAAAAATACGTACGAAAATTATCGATAATTAATAATTATTTTGTCTATTTTTATTTTCAATTGTTTTATAACAAATTACAATAAAAAAAAATGTACGTCAACTGTATTCTTTTTAGGATATTTTGAATAGGGAACTATCATCACAAACTGCCCAATAGAAAGAGAGATCTGAAGTTAGATACAGAACCGGCAACCAATGACGTAGTCGAATTTAAGATGTTGAACAATTTATGTAGCTAACTTCATAATCTTAATCTCAACTGATTTTTTATCTGTAGTGCATCATTCGTATTTGTATACTTTTTTATTACTTCAAACGTATTGTCAAATTAATAAGAATAACAATATTTATAGAATTTGATTGCAACGATGTGTAATTCGATAGAAATAACTTAGAGATGATGACAGAGCTTCTCGATGATTCTTCTTTCTTCAAATCACTTATGGTCATCACGATAATACATAACATGCATATTTATGTGTCTCTCTTTCAAGAAAATGTATAACACACCACACACACACACATACACGCGTGTGCGCATGATATGTATATGTATATGTAAAGATAGAGTTTATTTAATAATGTATAGATCACTTTTCTGACACACTGCATATATTTTCTATATGTATACGTGTGTTGTGTGTATAATGTTGTGTGTTGTACAGTTTTCGTGGCGAAAAGAGGAGTATTGTAACGTGGCGTGGCATTCTTCAGTCAACTTTTCTACGATATACCTTGCTATTGATTTTTGCGGTCTCGGTACAACGCCAATTCTCTCTCTCTCTCTCTCTCTTTCACTCTCCCACTTTTCCAATTTCTAACACTTTGTTTAGAATTTTTGTATACTTTACTATCCTATCCTATTCCTTAACTCGTACGAATTTTCTAACCTTCGTGATTTTTTTGTATCATATGTCGCAGAAAAAAGATATTTTCTATAATGGCGCATTATCCTAGGGGCCAAAAGGTCAATTGCCTGGGTTTGTCATCAGCAAGGTGTCCCAAAGTCTTCAAATCAATATTCTATAAACTAACTTTTGTAATAAAAAAAAGATTGGAAATGATATTTTGGTCTCATATACCTGAGGAACCCTAGAATTGCAAGGTGTGACGCAGGCGCGATGCACACTTGTATGGCAACCAATGAAATATAAACAAGGAAAAAAAACTTGGTTACACCTGGAATCAACTAAATTCAAATTTTGCTAGAGTACTGTGTGAGAAGTCGTAGCAACACATCGCTGATGATTCTTTAGCCCATTTTTAACGAAATATCTCTAGATTATATTACAAGAAAAGAAAGAAGAATGTAATTCGTCGTTGTAGGTTTTAAACTTTAACGTCGATTTTTTTGGTATTATGACGATAATATGGTAGTAGCGTTGTTGAGCTATACTTTCTACATAAATTCAAATATGTAATTGCAAGTGTATGTATTTTCTTGATTTTTCCTAGGATTTATTAATTTTTCTTTTTAAGATAAGACGACGCTCTAATAGCGCACGCGTGTATCGTATATCGATAAAAAGATTCAAGGAGAAAATATACTATTTTAACGGACCTTGTGCTTCTCGTTCTGCCATTCTCTAAGGGAAGATAATAAAACAACCTAGAGAAATGTCTAAGAACGTCTTGTTTATCGATTAATCGCGATTTATAAAAATTCATCTACAATACTTTACTCGCTTGTAAGTAAATAAAACGATTAGAAATTAAAAAGGAAAAAAATCAGAAACACGCATAGAAATTCAATCAATTGATAAGATTATAAAGAAGTTGATTCTTTTCCTGCACCTTGCAATATTTTGAAAAATTCTTGGTCTTATTCATCGTCGTATATCTCTTATCTTTCCGTTAACCGCTCGAATGATAACAACTAATATCATCTAATTGTTCTTTTCACTAAATCTACAATTATTTAATTACTTTTCCAACAAACAGATTTTCATGATATTTGTTTATTAAAAATGAAATTATTTGTGTGTATAAAAAGGCTGACCAACTGACGGAGGAACAGATCGCAGAATTCAAGGAGGCATTTTCGCTATTCGACAAAGATGGTGATGGTACCATAACTACCAAAGAATTGGGCACCGTTATGAGATCTCTTGGTCAAAATCCCACGGAAGCTGAGCTTCAAGATATGATAAACGAAGTCGATGCAGACGGTAAGAAAAAACAAAATCAAATGATCATCGTTTAATTATAACATTATTATATATTTTCTTCTTTCTAACTATTTATTTTCTTTTTCTGGAGCACTACGACATGTTGTGTTGTATGCGTGTGCGTGTTTTATCGATTCATGAGACTTAAGTAGATTTCTCTTTTTAGTTCATAATTATGTAGGTATATACACCATATATAACAAGTTTAGACGCGTTTTATTTAAACGAACTAATAAAGTAACGCTAAAAGTACATTATATTTTTATAATAAGATAACATACTTTACATCTACCGACATTATTGTATTTTATTTGCCATTGTTTTTAATCAACTACTTCTTGGAACTCATATTTTCCTTATATATATTATACGACGGATTTCAGGAAACGGTACCATCGATTTCCCGGAATTTTTGACCATGATGGCACGTAAAATGAAGGATACTGACAGCGAAGAGGAGATAAGAGAGGCGTTCAGAGTGTTTGATAAAGATGGTAATGGTTTCATATCTGCGGCAGAACTTAGACACGTCATGACAAATCTTGGAGAAAAGCTTACCGACGAAGAGGTAGACGAAATGATACGAGAGGCCGATATTGACGGCGATGGCCAAGTTAATTACGAAGGTTTGTATATCCATATCTATTTATCTATTATTCTATTATTCTATTTTTATAAAACAATAATTACATTTACAGACAAGTTTTTTGTACCAATTTTCTCAAAGATTTGTAAGAACAAAAATGTAAAATTATTTATTTGTAGAATTAATTTTTCTTAAATTATCTACAAAATGTTGACGGGGCCCCCCTTTGTATATTTTTTTTTTTTTTGCTGTATACCACACCAAAATCCCTTTTTAATGTCGAGTATATGGTGATTGTATATTGTTAATTCCAAATGAAATAACTGAAGAACTTGTAATTTAACATTTTTTTTAGTTTGTTTTAAGTTTGTTTATTTATCACATTTAAAAGTAGATCTATCTATTTAATGTGAAATATCTTTAGTAATATTTTGATTTCTTTATCCAGAATTCGTCACAATGATGACATCAAAGTGAATGCAACCTGTATAATGGAAGAACTTGCGACTTGAAGTGGTGTTGACGTACTAAATAAAAAAAAATTAATAATTAATAAATCAAGATGCAGAGTATAAAATATATATGTAAAACACACAAAATGCGAACCAGAAAGTGAAAACAACAAAACCTTATATCCGGATGTGAAGTCTATATAAATATATATATATATATATAATATATATAAAATATATATATATATATATAATATATATATTATTAAAAAAAAGAATCCGCGCAGAAGGTCAACGCCCGATACGGTTAATCATCTCTCGTTGTCGATAAGTAAAAAAAAAAAAAAAATACAGGGCAAATTAACTGTTTAATTAAAAAAAAGCTATACTGCTAAAAATCATTCTCTGTCGAGCATATAATACTTACAAAATACATAACACATACATCTTCTACACTAATATACGTATACACGCGTATAACACATATACACACTCTACACGAATACACCCGCACAATCATTTTATTTCCTTTTAACAAAAAGAACAACACACAACCAACCAAGAATAAGAAAAAAAAAATACAAAGGAAAGCATAGAAAAAAAATATTTAAAAAGTGACATTACACAACAAACAAACAAACACACAACCCACCACATTTAAACGTAAGATGCATAGTTGTGCGCGTTTCTTCTCTTATATTATAAAAGAAAGAAACTTATGAAAGAGAGAAGGAGAGAAAGAAAGAAGAGAAGTGCATTTCCTTTTCATCTTATATCTGTTTTTTCCACACTCGTTCTATCTATCTCTTCTCATCTCTTCCTCCTCGCTCTTTAAATTGTAAATCATTATTATTATTAATTATTATTATTATTATTATTATTATTAATTATTATTATTACAATTATTATTAATTCTTATTATTATTATTATTAATTATTATTAATTATTATTATTATTATTATTATTATATCTGTGTCACATGTATATATATTTTCCTTCTCCGTGTTTTACCTTTTACTACTCATCTTCATTTTCACTCTCACATCAATGGAGGAAAAAAAAAACAATTATCGTAATAATAATAATAAATACACGTTCTTGGGGAAATAGTCTTAAACGAAATTTGTAGATAAAAATTAATTTAAACGAGAGATAAAAATGCGCTCGAAGGAAAATCATATTAATCCGGAATAAATAGAGAAAAGAAAGGGAAAAAATAAATGAAATAAGAAAGAAGAAACGCCATGTTTACAAGCGTGTTATATATATATTGTATCGCAATTTTTATTTAAACACACCGCGTGTACGTAAATCTATCGATTTTTCTTTTTATTTCAAATGAAGTGTATAGTAACTGAGAGAAAGAGTTACGGGTAGAATAAAATATCCCAACAGAGAGCAGTTGTGCGGATTTAAATTCCACCGCGAATATGTGTATGTGAAAATAGTATTAACTATATCTTTTCAATTTAAAATTAAGGAGACTTCGGTCTGGATCTTAATTTTTAGAAAGAAATATAGAAGGGAAATATGAAATAAAATATAGCGAAGAAATCTGAGTTTTTTTGTCGATTGTCTTTAAAACAAATTTCAAGAGATTAATATAAAAAAAAAAAAAAAACAAACAAAAGAAAGAATATCCGCTGATGGTGATAGTTGGCACTTCACGTACTACGAAAAAAAAAAAAAATTAAATAAATAAAGAACACTTTAAGCTTGCGCGTCAATCTAAATAGATTATTGATGATAATTTGTATAAGAAAAATATTGAAAATATTATACCATAGACAGTGGAAGAACAAAATCGATGAGCAAGCGCAGCACTACTTATAGATCTCAAATAATAATAATAATAATAATATTAATAATAATAATAATGCATACGTACTACATACATACATACATACATACATTTTGGCACCTTGTCTCCTTTACGATTGATTAATTGTCTACGTCTCCACACGCGAGTAGTACTCGTGTTAATAAGGGGGGAAACAAATTAAATTCATATTAATAAGAAATATTAATATTAATAATGATAATTATTATGATAATTATAATTATAAAAGAAGAAGAAGAAGAAGAAAAAAAAAGATGATAAAGCAAGGAGAAAAAAATTAATTGTATCGCGGATTAGTTATTTTAGAAAGCTCCAGATCGAGATCTCTGCGTTCCTATGATGAATAAATAAGCTTCTTCTCTTCCTTGTGCTTTTAACGTTGCGTCTCGTTTCGCATTCGTTCGCGTCGTAACGCGTTAACAAGTTGTGCGCGTGCACGTACATATTATTATACACTTAAAACATACACACATTTTACATAACACACGTATAAGGAAAGAGGGGAAAAAGAAATAAATTGTGCTTATGAGAGGGTTTGATAAAATAAGAAAAAGAGAGAGAGAATAATGGAACGAGAGTTTTTTAAGCGAAAGTGAAAAAGAAAGAAGAAAAGATGTATAAACAATTTCCATGCATAATATACACATAACATACTTATATAGAAAAGAAAAAAAAATGTTTAAAAAACAAACAAAAAAAAAACTAAAAAATACAAAACGATTACAAGAACAACACCAACAACATATTATACAACATTTAAATAACACAGTGTGGTGTTTTATCTCCAGTTCCGTATTAATCTCCTGTTTTTATCTTGCCTTCCATCGAGGAAACCTCATTAACATTCGTGCGAAAATAAATTAATAATAAAGAAATAAATACAAATTATAAAATAAAAGAACAACAATAATAACAACAACCACCATCTCACGTCGACACCACTTTTGTTGGATGAAAAAGTTTCAATGGATAAACAGGGGATGATGATTATGATATGCAGATGATTATGATGATAGGGGTGTTCTAAAGGAAAGTCAAGCTACACACAACAAGTTATCGAGAGGGGGGTGTATTGCTTTTCTTCGCCCATGGATGTGTCTCGTGTCGTCGGTCTCGTTTAAAGTGGAAAAATAAATAAAAATTCGAGAAAGATAGATAGTGAGAGAGAGAGAGAGAGAGAGAAAGAGAAAGAGAGAAAGAAAGAAAGAAAGAAAGAGTAATATCACAAGCAGAAATGGGGAAGTATTGGTGTAAATTATGTGCGATCCGAACGCGATAATGTTATTTACAAACAAACTAAAAAGAATAACTTGAGAGTGAAGAACAACACACGATAACACGACGCGTAAAATAAATTAAATGAAATATTAAATAATTAATAAAGAAAAAGAAAAGTAAAGTAAAGTAAAGGTAAAAGTAAAAATGAACAAAAAATTACATCCAAGAGAAAAATACGTGTGTGTGCTTATCCGGAGGTTGTTCCGAGACATAATATATATGTAATATATATTATATATACATAAAAATTAATTTGAGACAAAATGAAGAGAAGAAAGAAAGATAGAAAGAAAGAATGAAAAAAAAAATAATTCCTCCACTGTCCTTTACTATTATTGTTATAATTATTATTGCAATTATTATTATTACGATTATTATTATTATTATTATTATTATTAATTATTATTATTATTAATTATTATTATTATTAGTTATTATTATTATTAGTTATTATCATTATTAGTTATTATTATTATTATTATTACTATTATTATTATTATTATTTAATATCGAAGTGATGAAATTGAATGAGATAAGTAAAGAAAAAAAAAAAAAAGGAAAAAAATATCGAAAGAGTGAACTACTACTTGTATTTCCGGTGACCTAGATTGCATTGATTATAAAAAGACAAAATAAATGTATCCTCATTTTTAGGTCACAAATATTTATTACTTGTCCTTTTTTAATTACCAATAGACCTCTCATTTCAGCTCTCTCATTTTTTTTTTTTTTAGCATTTACTTAATGGCACTCTGATTACTTTGCTAAGAAATATTTATTAGTAATCAATTAAAAAAAAGAAAAAAAAAGAAAACGCGCGCGTTTTTCTTTTAATAAACAAACTTCGTAAAAAAAAAAAACTTTAAGATGACGTATTTTACATACATACATATCTATCTGCGTGTAATTTCAAAGAAATAAAATAAAATTTCTCGCTTGTAAAATCTTCCTCTTCCTCAAAGTGAAAATTAGATATTATAGATCGCAACGCAGGACATTGATAATAATGATGATGATGATGATGGTCATGGTGATGATAATGATAATGATAATGATGATTAATGATGCTAGTGATGATAATGATGATGATGATGATGATGATGATGATGAGAAATATGCATTTACGCAATTGGTAATTGCTTCATACGTGTGATGTCATTTGTGAACATTAAAAAGTTGTCTCTCGGTAAAAAAAAAATTAGTCTAAGCAATATGTGTCGATATATATTTTCACTTTATAAGATTCATTTTTCAATTTCATCTATATCTCCCGAGAAAGAATGAAAGAAAGATGATAACAACAAATCAATATTAGAAATCGTAACATACATTGCTTGATATAACAAAATGCATAACTAATTGGTATTCTTTAAATTCTATTTGAGATCACGACGCTTGATTATTTCTCATTTAGCCAAGGGAACGTTCTTTTTGTTTTTTTTTGTTGTTGTTGTTTTTGTTTGTTTTTTTGTTATCTTTCAATCGTCAATTCCAATGACGATCTTTCTTGCAATTTAACACGTTCATCTCTTCATCAACAATGCTGTTGTTTGAACAATTCAATGGTGCTCCATTATTAAGTGTTGTTTTTTACTTTTTACAAGATTTCTCTTTAAAATGATAACTAGGGCGTTTCTCTGTTGCCAAAAAAAAAGAAAGGAAAACAAAAGAAAAGAAAGAAATTTTAAAATATCTATATATAGCTACTTGACTAATTAATTAAATTTATTATGTTGAAAAGAATATTCCATTATTAGATTTTGATTGTTTCATCCTGATCTTAAAAATCCAAGGAGGATATTAATTTAATTGTAAGATTAGAATTTGCTCGCCTTTTATATTTCTTATTAAAGATGATTATAAATATAAAGAATAATATACGGCAGAAGTACTTACCTCTATTTTCAATGCATCATATTCAAAAATGGTTGCAATCAGCGTTTAATCTTTCAGATAGTAAAAATTAATCATGGATGTTTCTTAACACTTCTTATCGTAAATAAGAAAGCAGCACAATTTGTATAAAATGTTAATGTTGAGTTAATAAATTGTTCCAATGTATAAAAGTGTGCACATGTCCTCTGTAATTCCTGTTTTATGTTGTTACTCATGGTATATTCGTATCGTGTTGCGTTTCGCAACAGTAACGTTCATTTCGCAACAGTATTATAATAAGGAAAATATTCTTAGAATAAAGACAACTAATATAATTGTAACACAACTAATATATAGAGAACAAAATATATTCTACAAATTTATCTCGTCTATGTTTTACATATGTTTCGTACATAAAGTAATGAAAAACACATAAATAAGTATTTCCAAAAATATATTTCGTAAAGATGTATTTTCAATTAATTAGATTGAAATAAAGAAGCGCTCGTAGATTATGGAATAAATGTTGAATAATAATAATAATGTAATCATAAACAACCTTTAGGTTTGATTTTAAATATTGAACATACTTCTTGGAACAAATTTCTCAAGATTTTAGGCTGGTCCTTAAGACTCTACAAATAATGATATTGCATTGAAATAATATAGGAAAGAAAAATCAGAATAAAGAGTATAGCCTAGTGTATGTGTTATTAAAATTTCACTTACATCGTTAAGAGAAATCGTAGGTATGAAAGAAATTTGTGGCCTAAGTGCACTTGTTAATTCTCCGTATTTGGCTAAAAGTTCTTTTCCTTTAGCTCCCGAATAACATTTGGAAATGGCATTAACATCCACATTCATCTTCTGCGCACAACTTTCCATTATTTTGATTGGTTCGATATTGTTTTTAATCATGCAAGACAAGTAATTCAATAGAAGCGATTGATCTTTAATAAGATCAATGGCACACGCATGTACCATATTCCCTTGACATTCGATTGGTCCATGTTGACATTTAAATTCATAAGTATGATCATTTTGTGTCGTCTGGAATGTAGGAAAGTTTTTTAAACATTACGCAAAGTTTTAATTCCTCATATGATTGACAAACATTTCATTATGTTTTTCATACCAAAGCTTTTCCGTACGGTACTAATTTGACTTTAACATTTTCTTTAAGTTTCATATACGTAGGCAATAAATGTTTTATAAAAAAGCTACGAGAATCAGGACAAAGTGTCTCATAATATACACCTATGTGAACTATTTCTTTCTCATCTTCCTGCTTCATTGTCATCGACTTACTTCCCCAAGACTCTCCTATGTAAGTTTAAGAAATAATCGTTTAGAAAGACCTAACTTTATGTTAGGTACATACAACATGCATAAAAATAATATTTTACCTTCCATAACATTATCTTGTGCTAACATTAACCATAGTTTAGAAGATTGCCACAATAATAGGAATGCAGAAATAATCAGCAATATCTTCCATCGAAAATTACCTAACCCCATTATCTAAATTTATTTTCTACAAATACTGTAATAGAAAATTAAGGATAAATAAATACTATTTTGTGTGTATAAAATATTATAGATATTAACTTACCAATATGTGAAGAATGTATCCATAAAAACCGTAAATATATAGACATTATTTTGATACCTTTATTAAAGGTCCACCATATGTTAATGATATTTTTAACGTGACATCATAGACAAATTCTGATTCTGTTAACTGTCAAGAATCAAGAGGATCATTAAATATTTGATTTTTATTAACAATAATAACACTGGTTAAATTAACACGTACTTGCCTAATCTTATTATACACATGTGTTTATGATAAAACAAAAATAATCTATTTTCTTATTTTTCTTATGCAGTTAAATACATTATTTCACATTGTTATGTTAGAAAGAAACGTGTAAATGTTAATTGCCATGAATTCCGGTTTAACCAAGAAAGGAGAAGATTTGTCATCGATCTTATTTATGATAAAAGGCATAATAATCTGGTACAATCGATAATGTTAAGAATGTTAAAAAAAAAATATACATAGTTGCATTTAAAAAGATAACTTTTAAAGATAACGTTTGTTTATTTCTCTTATAATATTTTATTATAAGTGCTCATAACAAGCTCGTAGTTGTATTTTTTGTTCGTTGGGTGGCAGTATGAAAATTTACCGATGCGTGTCATTTAAAAAAAAAAAACGCGCCAATATCGAACGAGTCAATTCATGGTTGTAACTTCGACTATCGTCAATTTTACTAATCGATATTCATTCAAAAATCGACTCTGTTATGCGCATGCGTCATTAAATAGACATGTGCTTACCGAATATAACCTTCAAAGATATAAGCAATTGAGAATTGTATATTCATTTTATTAATTGTTTATAATAAAAGATTCATTGTAAAATTTGGAATGTTAGGATATCAATAAATATTAATATTAATATTATACAATTAAATATGGAGAATAAAAAAAAATCACGCGTGTTATTAGAAGAGAGTGGAATATCAAACGTAAGTTTATTAAAATATGAATTATTTTTATTATTATTGTAAACGTATGTATTATTATTATTATTATTATTATTATTCATATTATAATTTTTTATTTTACAGATAATTGAATGTTCTTACGATAAATGGAACATACAAGATTTCTTAAAAGTACAGTATTTTGCATATATAAACATGCACTCAGGGTGTATGAGATTTTACCAGCAAATTTCTATGTTCAACTATTAATTTATTATTATATATTTACAGAATTTCAAAATAGATATTGTAAAAGAATCTCAAAATGAAAGAGAATTAGAATTTGATCTAATCAATTGCCATTCATCGTTTGTTAATGCTATACGTAGAATACTCCTAAGTGAAGTTCCATCTATGGCTATAGACAAGGTTTTTATATTGAATAATAGCAGTATAATTCAAGACGAAGTATTGGCGCACAGACTTGGACTTATACCTCTAAAAGCTGATCCTAGATTATTTGATTATCCGTCTATTAACGAGAAAGATGAAAATGAAGTTAGCGATCAGGATACATTAAGATATGAAATTAAAGCTAGTTGCACTTGGAATCCACAGCCACCAAAAGATTCTAAATTACCATCTGACCTGTATAAATGTAATAATGGTAATACTTTGATTATATTTATTATAGAATAGTAATATTTAGTAATATCAAAGAGAACAAATATTTCATATTTTTGTTTTCTAGTTTACAGTAAGGATATCAAGTGGGTATCGATTGGGCGTCAAGCAGAATTGTATCCTAGAGGTGCAGAACAATTGGGTGTTATAGAAGATGATATTTTAATCAGCAAATTGAGACCAAAGCAAGAAATTCATGCTTTTATGCATGCAGTCAAAGGTATCGGAAGAGATCATGCCAAATTCTCTCCAGTAGGTATGTATTCTTTTTTTATCAATTTCTTCTATTATTTGATTATATTAAAGTAATGTAACTTATATTATTTTACGCAGCTACTGCTTCATATAGATTATTACCGGAGATTAAAATGTTAAAACCAGTGAGAGGAGATTTGGCCCCACTTTTTAAAAAATGTTTCAGTCCTGGTGTTATAGAAATTGTTGAACATGATAAGGATAATCCTGATTCATGGGAAGCTGTTGTCAAGAATGCGCGTTATGATAGCTGCTCTCGGAATGTTTTTCGTTACGATGATTTAAAGGATACTGTACAACTAAGTCGAGTATCGAATCATTTTATTTGTGAGTTCTGTTATCTATTTTAGATTAGTACAAAAATTACCTTTCCTATTTATATATATTTTATTTATTTTATGTTATTTACAGTTACTATTGAATCTGTTGGTGCATTATCATCAGCCATATTGTTTACAGAAGCAGTCAAAATATTAAAATCCAAATGTAGAACATTTTTAGAAGAACTTGAAAATCCCTCATAATAGATAGATTCGATATTATGTATTATATTTTAAATAAAAGAAAACAAATGCTTTTTATAAATGTTTTATTATCATTAGAACCTCATATATTGTATATTTTGTTTTCAATTTATGTGTATTCGTTGTAACATTTATGAAACATATATTGACGACAGTAATACTTTCTTCTTCTTCTTTTAACTTTTATGAAAATATTGATATGTGAAACATTGTATAAAAACTTTGAGCATTAATAGACAAATGTATAACATTGTTTCTAAAAATGTATATGCATACTGTAAAATATGAGGCACGTCGCGGTACTGTAAAGTTATCATTTTATACAATAGCCATCTAATTCACTATATTACAGTTTTGTTTATAAATTTCTTATCATTCATGGTAATAAATATATGATGTTATCATTTGGAAGCCAAATAAATAATTTGGAATAATTTAAATGAAGTTAAAGATTAACATACAATAGAACATTTCAATTATAAACATGATGGAATATTACAGAATGGTGCATGAGCTTTTTTCACGAAAGGGATTAGACTTCTGCGATGAGAAACCAACCAAGAGGCAATCCTCTTGTTCGTGCTCAGTAATGTATTTCATAATATCATCTATAGCCTTGCTGACCATTATACGCTTTATCGCCGCTTCACGACGCAATTGCTCGGTGATCATGCGTTGCTGTTGGAGATTTGTTATCACCATGTCCATAACAGCTAATATCAACTTAATTAAATGCTTCTGATTTTAATAATATTGAAATACTGGAAAAATAAATACATACAAATCCAATTAATTCTGTCAAAGTAAAAAATTGTTAAATTCCACACTTGTAATATTGAAAATAATCTATCTCATAAGTAAACTTACACTTGGTTTTTTCAATGTACAAAAAAGAAACTTTGTATTTGTATATTTTCTTGTACTACTTATTAACTGTATTTACTTAGAAACTAGAAAAAGGAAATAGAAATTGAAAAGGAGGAAACCAAACCCTAAAATACAACAAAAGTATGACGTATATGATTATTTGTTCCTCTCGTATAAATAACCTATCATAATGGAGATATAATAGGTTCCATTTTGATTGGTTCAAATTCTGGACTAATCAAATTTAATCTCGTGTAATTTAAGTGCTCTTTGAGAAAATTAAATATTAATGTGCTTTTAATTATCTAATCAATTAATTATCAATTATTATATTTATAATTATATACATAAATGTTATTGAAAATTAAGAAAAAAAATAAGTCTCTAGAACATGTAGCCACATCATTAGGGTTAACATATAACGAATTTGAGGTTTTTTATGTTGCCACACCTGTAACACTTGTACTACCGATCAACACAGTTGCATCGTTTAGCGTCTACAGTTCCCGCGTTGGTGTCTTTTTCCGGATTGTTTCTTGTAGTATTGCATGTTATATTATTCTTTGTTAATAACGTCTGAGCTTTCGACAATATTCTTGCGAATATTAATTTGACAATGCCGAAAAGAAAGAATCAAGCGTTAATAGATTCGGAAAGTAACGGTAGTGCATCCGAAAGCGGATCGGATTTAGATAACGTAAGTAACCTAACCTTACACACAATACACATATTTTAGTTTGTCGATATTTTGTTGTTTTTTTTTTTTCTTAGAAATAAAAAACATTATTATTTTTTTCTGTTGAAAGTATGCATTTATTGTTTTGCTATAATTAAACTCGATGGCAAATTTTTGTATTTCTTAATATTGTATTTTATCGAGAAAAATTGTAGTCAAACGATATCATCTAACCTAATTGCCGATATAGTACTATCATTTGTCTTTTACCACTTTTCTTATAAACTAATGCTTCTTATTTAAATGAATGAAATAAGATTAAACATAGCGAACAGCCATTTTGTATTTGATTGTTTTGATAGTTTTTATAGATTATGTGATTTTAGGTAATATTTGTTATATACGTTATTCTACTTATATACACACACATATATATATATATATATATGTATTTCTTTATTGGCAACACTTATTGTTGATCAAGTATCAAGTGCGTTCGTTGTATATTTTGCATCTATTCTTAAATTAAATATCTGAGATATTAATATTGAAACATCTGTTCAATGGTACCTTATATAAATAATTTTCTAAAATGTAGGATCTACTTTCTCTGGCAAAGAAAAAGAAAGGTAAAACACAAGACGACTCTCAATCCAATGAAGACAACAGCATTGCTAAAAAAGATGTTAGACATGATTCTGATACATCAGATTCCGATGACGATTGGGGAGCAAAGACTGGAAAGATGAAAAAGAAAAAAATTCCGACTAAAAGGAGTAAGCGAAAGATGACTAAATCCAGCAGCGAGGAAAGCGGAAGCGATAAAGAAACTGCCAAAGTTTCTGAACCGGAAGAAGGCGAAGTATCAGATTCTGATGCTAGCGTATCCGATTCTAGTCAAGAAGAATTTAACGATGGTTACGATGACAAATTAATGGGAGATGCTGAAGATCAAGCAAGATTGGCACAAATGACGGAGAAGGAGAGAGAACAAGAAATTTTTAAAAGAATAGAACATAGGGAAATCATGAAGACCAGATTTGAAATAGAGAAAAAATTGAGAATGGCCAAGAAACAGGAATTGAAAAAACAAAAGGAATCTAAGAAGAAGGAAAAGGGAGTGGAAGATAAAAAGATAGACAGGGCACCGGATCCTAAGGAGAGAAGTAAGGATCGTAAGAAAACGATAGAGGAGAAACAAGATAAAAAGTTTCACGCAATGTCTTTGCTTAAGGCAAGACGCGAGGAAAAGAAAGAAAGGGAAGAGAAAGAGAAACAACGAATAGAACAACAACAGCAACAATCTAAGGACATAGAAGAGGAAGAATTGGAGGACGACCATAAGGGAGGTGCTAATAAAACTAAGCTAAAAGCTTCCGACATTTATTCTGATGATAGCGGTTCTTCGGATAGCGGAGAAGAGGAATCAAATAAACTGGAATCTCACCAAAGATCATCTTCCAGTGAAAGTAGAGACTCTGACTCTGACACGGATAAAAAGTTTGTATTCTCTTTTTGTTTGTATATGTAAAACAAACACATTTCACAGTAAATTGCATTATTTGAATGTAACTTTTTTTTTTGAAAATTTTAGATCTGTGAGCAGTAACAAAACTAAACCGAAGAAACCATTATTCGTTAGTACTAAAGATGAATTGAATAAAATAAGATTATCTCGTCATAAAATGGAAAGATTCGTTCATCTTCCATTTTTCGATCGAGTGGTACAAGGTTGTTTCGTTAGAATCGGCATTGGAAATAATAACGGGAAAGCAGTTTATAGAGTAGCAGAAATAAGCGGAGTTTGCGAGACCGGTAAAATCTATCAATTGGGTGGTACGAGAACGAACAAAGGTTTAAAATTAAGACACGGTATTCAGGAGCGTGTATTTAGATTGGAATTTGTATCCAATCAAGAATTTACCGAATCGGAATTTTCCAAATGGAAAGAAACGTGTGTTGCGCAAGGCATATCGATGCCTACGTTCGACGAAGTAGAACAAAAATTGAAAGATATTAAAGAGGCCTTAGTATACGAATTCAAAGAGGAGGATATTGAGAAAATAGTTCGAGAAAAAGAAAGATTTAAACAAACCCCATATAATTATGCTATGAAAAAAGCTCAATTAATGCGGGAAAGGGATGCAGCCAATTGTAGAGGAGATGACGAAACAGCGAGTCGTCTTAATCAAGAATTGAGCGAATTAGAAGAACGTGCATCCGAACTTGACAAAATGAGAACTGCTACGATATCCAGTATCTCTTACATCAATGATCGTAATAGAAAAAAGAACGTTGAAGAAGCGGAGAAAGCCATAATGGTAATATTTTTTATTTATTATCTTTTATTAATACATGTATTAAATAACATTAAATATTAAACATATATATTGTGAATTTATTAGGAGGAAATTAAAGCCAACAAAGGGAAGAAGGTTGATGACCCATTCACTAGGCGAAGTACAAAACCAAGAATGGTTTATAAACCTGATGAAGAGGACGCGCCTACAGCGACTATGACAACTGACAAATCAGGTTCTCAACAAATCGGTGATACTATTTCTTCGATCAATGAAAAAGAAAATGGTCAAGAAGTTAAAAAAAAACAGAGCACCGAAGACTTATTCAATGCTCATGATTTTGATATTACAATAGATTTAGAAGTACCAATTCCAAGTAAGTTGACAACTACATTTCATTTTCTACCATTTCATTTCTTTTCCTTTTCTATTATATTATATTATATTATATTTGTTATTTTCAGACAATCCTGTTAGCGTTTTACCTAAACCCGTGAGTAATATTAAGGATACAGGACCTCGTCGTTCTTTGAACTTAGAAGATTATAAGAAAAAGCGAGGACTTATCTAACAGTTTATTTACTTTAGACTGAATAATAATAAGATTAATTTATCAATGTTATGTTATAATAATCGATATAAAAATCATAGCTATTTTTATCACTATTGATCGAAAGTCAAAATTATAGTATTGCTAGCTGCTCGTAATAATTATTATTATTATTATTATCATCATCTTTTTAAAATGATTACAGAGAGAGAGATTGTTTCTGCCTATAATTATTATTATTATTATTATTATTATTACTATTACTACTATTATTACTATTACTAATTATTATTATTAAGAGGAAGATCTTTTAAGAAGTATAAAAAGATATTGTTATCGGTATTACGATCAAATATTTTTCTTTAACAATAGTTTTATAGGAAGAAGTACTTAAAGAGAAAAAATGGTATTATTACTTGGCCATTGGAAGAAATTCTTGATTCCACTTTTTCTTCTTTAAATGTCATTAACGCATTAAGTGCCAAGGTGTTCTAATATTTTTCTTGTAAGTACTGAAATTTACACTCCTCTAACAATTAATGTTATACATATATATATTTATATTTTTTTCTCTCTCTCTCTCTCTTTCTCTCTCTCTCTTTCTCTCTCTCTCTCTCTCTCTCTCTCATTTTCTTTCTTTCTTTCTCATGAAATTTTTATATCATACATAATAGAACTTGTAATTATTCCATCGAAAAATACTACATACGAAACTGTAGTTATAAATAACTATTAAAGTCTAATAGTGTTACTATAGTATCATTAGTATAAAGTATATATATATATATGTTTATATGTATATATATGTACTTTATATATTTTCTTTCTGTTTTTGTTTATTTTCTTCTCTCGTAAGTGTAATAGAATTGATGTTATACTGAAGTTTATTAACGTTAATGTAATTGATAAAATGATAATGTTTTAAAGAAATTTTAATTAGATTTCTAATTTATATTTTTATTTAAGATATCTTTATTATCTTATTTTGACTAATTTTTGTTTTTGTTTTATGAATAGTATGCGTTAACGTTTTAGAATTTCCTTTTTCTTTTTCTTTTTAAAGTGAATGAAATTTTTAAAATAATCAAGATTAATAACCGAAAATTGTTGCTACTCAGAATAACTTATAAAAAAGAAGAAGAAAAAAAAGAAAAAAAAGAAAAAACAATTGTGTCATTAAAGAAAATTATTTTTATCACATTAATCTATACGAAAATCTACTGGTTATAAATATCTTTTTTAATATGTAACTATATTCAGAGAAACGTGGTATCTTTAATAAATAAAACAACATTCTTGTATCTTCAATATCAAGTTTTGTATCTCGTTGAAATACGACTAAACCGGCGGTGATTTATTCTATTAATGAAATTTGTAAATATCATGAAGAAAAAGAAATTAACAGATAACAGACATTTTACAATTATTTATATATTTTCAAATCATTATTTCAATTATTTGGAAAATGAGGAAATTTATTTCAATGATTATTAAAATGCATGACAGTTTTTAAATGCATATTGATTAAGGGCAATGACATTGTATAGCTAGTAATATGCAACTGTCAATTGTAATTGATTCATTGTATAAACAAAAATCTGTTTATCTATAAAAGTATTTGCTCTTGTGTATGCGTAGGACATACGCAATCATACATGTGCATATATAAACAATGGCTGTGTAATTAATTCTTTAACTGTTATAGTCTTTTTCGTCATTCATTTTTATGATAATGAACAAAATATTTAACGTGAAGAGATCAGAAAGATGAAAAGTAATTATATATGGACAAATGTAAACGTTTTACTCTGAATATTTTGAATATCTTTGCTATTTCTCTGTATGTAGTAAAGCATACAAAATTGTAATGATAATTATATTCCTACAGTTAAAGGATTAACGTTATATAAACAGATTTTTAGAAACACTTCCATGTCGTCGCTTTCCAAAGAAGAAGCGATTTTTCACTTGTATAATTTTATTAGGGAGCAATAAAATTAGAATGAGTGTTTGACGATTATTATCGAATATAATTTGACGAATATATATATATATATATATTTGTTGGGAGAGAAAGATCGCAGCAATAGTGTGATTGAAAAATTTTGACTGCTATGTTAAAAAAATAATACTCCAAGATGTAATGCTATATACATATATATATATGTATATGTATTATAAGACACTGTAAAATAAATCTAAATAATAGAAGTCCATTAGAAAACTATAATCTATTTGTTCATAAAATTTTACATCTAAGTAAAAACTAACTTTAAGTAATCAATAAATTAGAAATACTTGTAATTGCTGTTGTAAGTTTATCCTTGTATGATTTAAACGATAACAAGATTTGTACACTCCCTCAATGCTAGAATATGTTTATTATATTATTTAAAGTGATATATTTGTTATATACATATAAATCGTGCTACTAAGATATGTTGTAACTATTTTACCATAATTAATAATTTTCATTTCGATTGTAAAATATTACTCGATTTTATAATCATATTATTAAGTCATGTTAATCAATAATAATCTTTATAAAGATGACATTAATATTATACATTAATATAATCTGAAAGAAAAAAAATAGTTATAAATAATCCTCGATCATTCTTTATTTGCCAAAATAATTATAATAATAATAATTAATATACAGAAATATATTAATGCATTTTATATTAAAGGACTTCGGTAGAAGGAAAAAGACATGATTTGAATTTGGCGCTTTTGAGTTTTCCCGCGTAAATGCGCGCGCAGAGATGGCAGAAAGCTGCGTAGTCGAGAAGATACGATAGAGTGGTGCGTACGGGTCGTTTGCACGGCGCTGCCCATATAAGGTAATTTCCCCACGTCCCGAGCAGGGATTGGCTAGTACGAGTGGTACATCCTACCGATGACTAATTCCAATGAATTCCGTGTCATCGGCCGCGCTGCGCGATCGATTCGACGAGACGACGATGTCGACCACGACCACGACTACGATCGTGATCACGACGATGACGAAGACGACGAGGACTAGGAGGATGAGACATCCGAATATATTCATATATATACATAAGTTTACTCCTCGTTCATAGATCGATTTTGTTCAACGATCCACGCTAGATCCAGAAATTTCATAAGCAGTTGAGGCTTCAATTTTATTGCAAAAAAAAAGAAATTTCATTAACATCAAAAATAATCCTATGCTGCAAATTTATTTTGAATATGTTCATTTCTATGTACATTTATACTTTTAACGATCTTTTTTCCAAATGATGCGGCGCTGCAATTCGTACGTGCAGTCGATCGCGATTTTTCTTGTCAAATTGGAAGGAAGAGGGAAAAAGGTGAGAAAAGATAGGTACTCGAAGGGAGAGGGATAAAGAAAAAGATAAAGAGAGAGAGACAGACATACATACATACAAACAGCAGATAGACAAGAAGCGAGAAAGAGAAAAAGAGAGAGAGAGAGAGAAATTTAGCAGTTGCAGGAGAAGTAGACGCAACGGGCCAATAGAGACTTATCCGCCAATTGGAGTGCGCGCGCGCAGGCGTAGGAATACAGGATTCGCGGAGAGGCGAAGAACCGTGACTGGAGTGGGAAAGAGAGATAGGGTGTAGAAGAGGGAGAGAGGAAAGGAGGGTGGCGGGTGGGAAGGGGGGAAGGCCTCCTCCCTTCTCGTTCCTTCGTGTGTCGCGACCCCCGGCGACTGGACACACTGCGCCTTATCCAGTTCTACCCGGAGCCGAGGCCACCGCGAGTGTTACTTTCGAGTCGGGTCGAGTTCTTCGAGTCCTTCGTTAACGCAATTCTTAACACACCGCTTCTTCGTTTCTACACGACATCACGATAAAATGGTAAATATTATCCTTATTATATATCGTTATAATAATCATAATAATATTAATAATCGTTCTAATCATTATAATTATAGAAGAAAAGATTCGTGAGGCATATATAAATATGCCTAATTATCAAGTTGTCGTCCAACAAGTTAAACGGTCTTTTCGTAAAAGCTTTAAATTCTTGTTCTCTTCGTGAATCGTAGACCGATTCGCTTTTGTGGTTATGGCCGCGGCGGACGCGCCGCCGCCGGTCGCCATTTCTATAACCGGCGGATATGCCGCGGCACAGAACCATCCATTCGATTGTTCTCTCCTTATTCGAGCGCGATCAATCTTTCTTACACACACACACACACATACACAACACTCTTTCTCCCATTTTCGTTTATTTTTGTCAAAGAATACGATTGATTTGTTAAGTATCTTCGAGAATTCGACATTAGGAGGTTAGGAGATACTCGGCTCTTCTGCCGGTCGCGGTCCAGACGGCGGGGGGGTTTTCCTCCTTACTACCTCCCTTTCTCTTTCCTCTCTTTATCACCTTCCTTTCTCTCTCTCTCTCTCTCTGAAAATTCTTTCCATGAAGAAAGAATTTTCGTTTTCTTAATGTAATTATAATAATCATTAATATTTTTCATAACTGTTGAACGCGAATGTTTTTCAACAATCCGTTGTTGAAACCGACCAATCAAACTCGTTGGATTCCTTCAATACTTTTTTTTATAACCGATACTTGAGAATTTTAAATTACCGTTTAATTTTCATGAAATTTCACGTAACGTTTGTTATCACGTAATTTATACTTTGCGTTTCGCGTTCATTGTCATCTTAATTGTAATATTATTCCCCTTATTCTTTTTTTTTTTTTTTTCCACCCCTCTGTATATTTCTCTCATTTTTTTTTCTCAGAGATTGATTTTTGTTACGTGTTAGTTTTAACCAGTGAGAGAGAGAGAGAGAGAGAGAGAGAGAGAGAGAAGAGCTGTCATTGAGAGTTCGCCGGAATCGATTTAACGAATCATCGAAGACGAGTCATCATCGACTGAATAATCGTTTATTTTATTTGAAATCTAATATGATTCTTGATAAATATTTTTAATAACGACTTATCGGTTTTTTTTTTACTCGATCGATAAAAAAGAACTAATGTACATATGAAGAGAGATAAAGAAAGAGAGAGAAAGAACAGATGCGAAATATTACATACAAAAAAGATGGATGTCGTACCGTTAACGATATGCAAGCTTCAAAACGAATCGAAATGTGATCGGTGTATGTCGGACGAGTTTTTAAGATAGTGAGGAGAATACTGTGGGTGTAAAGGGAGAAAAAGAGAGAGAGAGAGAGAGAGAGTGAGTGAGTTAGTGAGGGATTGGGAGGGGAAGAGAAAGAAAGAGAGAGAGAGAGAAAGAGAGAGAAAAAGTATTCAGTATTGCCGAACGTTTCGCGCGACCATTTTCTCTTCACTTCCTCTGATGCTCCACCTCCTCCTCCTTCTCTTCCTCCTCCTCTGACGGTAGCCTGGATATTTTCAGACGCGTACGAGACATAGCGAATAGAGCTGTTCGAGAAAAAGAGAAAGAAAGAGAGAGAGGTGGAACAAAGGTGGGACGATAGAGAGGAGAATTCAAAAAATGGATTGGAATGGTCGATGAGTTTTGACGTTTGAAAACGATACTTTTTTTTTCTTTTTTTTTTTCGAGATATATATAACCCTATTTTTTTTTTTTTTGTTATACTTCGATTAGAGATAAGTTTAATTTAGGTTCTTATCAATGTGTATTATTTGTTTAGTTATCGCAAAAGTCTTTTTCTTTCAAGGAAAGTCCTGAAGTTGGTCAATGTTGTGTTGCGTTTCAAAATTCTTCCGTTACAGTCGATAATGTAGTGCAGGATCAAAGAAAAGAAGACTGTGGGATATTTTTGAAAATATGTTCATTAGAACTTTTATATTAATTAAAAAACGAAAAAAGACAAAGTTTGAATTTAAATAGTAACGCAGTCTTCTGGTACTACTCTACTATTATTATCTTATTCCTATTCCAAGAAATTCTTGCTCTGCTAAAATCTATTTTTCTCTGTCGCTGTGCCGTGTGCTGTCTCTCTCTCTCTCTCTCTCGCACGTTCACTCGCGGTATTTTGTGGTCTAGTGCGCGCGCGCGTGTGTATGAGAGATGGAATTTATTTAACGACGAAATGACGTTTAAAAACAATCGAAAAAAGATTTACGAACGATGATTTATTTTAGAAATAAAGAATAAATGAAAATCGTTTAATTATCATATTAGTATCGACAATGAGAGAACGCGCGCGGGGAGGACTACAATGAAGTTGGTTACAATGTGATTAATCACAATGGCGGCAGCAGAGAGAGAGAGAGAGAGAGAGAAAGAAGGAGGAAAAAAGGGCGCGCATTGGTCGTTAGTTCAAAAACTTGTTTTCGTATAAATTTCATGGTCGAAATATGTGTATTTATTTCTGCTTTCTTACTCTACTTACTATGAATGACGTGACAATGAACTAGAAAAGGTGGGATAGAGAGAAGGAAAAATTTTGTCTATCGACGCTCCTACCGTCGTGTACAAGGAGGTCGACCATAATATCTCTTTCTCTCTCTCTCTCTCTCTCTCTCTCTCGCTCACTCAGTACGTCTTTTGTCGGACAGTGACTCTCAAAGTTCACTGACGTCCCGACCGATAGGTTGATTAATTTATTGCTCAATCGAGCTTCGCTTCTATTAATCTAACCAGCTGCTAATTTTCTTTCGCCACTCCTAACCTTTTAATTGCCATCGAATTTTTCATTAAATTTATATTTTTGTTTTGAAACTTCAAAAAGGTTAACCTATATATTACGCGTTCTATTTTTTTCGATTAATTTTAGAAAGATGATGTCAAGGTATCTCATTGCAATAATTTACGAAATTGAAATAGTTTCTAGGATAAATGACGACGACATTATCTTTCTAATGAAACTACTCGACGAATCACGATTTATAAGAGAGTATAATTATTCCCTGTATAATTTTCAAACAAATTTGTGTAGAAATTGTTCTGAAAATAGTACTACTGTAGTCAAATTGTTGAAATATAAATACATTCGAATCTATCGCGGTCGATTCTGATGGCTCGTTTAAAAAGAAAAGAAAGTATAAGACGGATGGATAAATCAAACGTTCTATTACATCGTTTTCATTTGTCATATGCTTTATTTCTCTGCTTAGCAAGGACACATAAAATGATCGTTTTAACGAAGCGACGTCTCTCTTTCGCTGTCATTAACTCAACAACGTTCCTTTCTAAAGCGATTTATATTTTTTATGTTATAGCCTAGCAAAATGGTGCACTCTCAAGTAGCAATAGATAACAGATAATAGAGGTGACCGCGATATGATTTCGTTTCATACCAACGTGAACGTAGTTTCATTCAATACCCCATTAATTTTGTAGTTAAATATTTGACCAACATAAAATAAACAAATCAATGGAATTAGGTGCATGTGTAGATATTTTAGATCGGAAATGATGTTCTTCGAGATATTTCCCGATATAGATACAAAATTCAGATCCATGACATTGTCCTTAATTCCGTTATCGGCTATCTTCGGTCGAACTCGTAATGACGCCGGTAGCGTCCCAGGATTGGGGTGGGGATAGAAAGGAAGATGGTGGAGTAAGGAATAAAATGGGGAAACACGCGTTAGAAGAGCTTGAAAAGTAAAACGAAAGAAAAAAAGAAAATAAATAGAAAATAAATAGAAAATATTGAGTATTATATCTAGTATATCTCTGCGAGAACGACATATGTATATTTAAAATGTTTTATGTATGCGATTAGAAGAGAAAGATAGGTCTAACCACGCGCATGCCTCCTCTCCTTTGCGCGCGTGGTGAATCATCTTTCGTTTGACCTTGCGTCAGCATGCACTCTTACACATACTATTTTACTCTCATCGTGTATGTATGTGTGCAAGCTGTACATAAGAAAAAAGAGACACAACGCGACAGGGATGAGGATGAGGACGAGGACTGAGCACGTAAAGGGCGTTTACAGTACGTCCTAGAGGGAGCCAAGTGTATTCCTAACCGTAGTGTAGCACGAAATATCGACCGAGGAACTGCATCCCGGCTGCACAATTGTGTACGTGTGTATGCACGATGCATGTATGATGGATGCTTTTATGTCCTTCGAGCGTGCGTTTATTATCCTGTTGGCCACATCAAGTTCTAAACAAATTATCAATAGAGAATTTAAGACATTGGATATTTGCGATTATATTTTACTTAAAATTTAATTGTTTAAATACATGAAAAAAAATGTCTAAGAATGCAAGATAATATTGGTAGATTATAATGGAAAAATAATAGGCGCGGGCGCGTAGTCAAGACAACGTTAGTCAAAATCACTCCTGTCGATGCCTTCGTAGAGGATCAATAAGTTAGTGAAATAAAGTAATTTGTCTTTGCATTGCATATGGCAGGGTAACAATGCAAGCTTTTATTCTCTCTCTCTCTCTCTCTCTCTCTATCTATCTATCTCTTTCTCTTTTTTTTAGTATGTTGGTTGTGACTCATTGCTATTAAACGACACACGTTACCAGCAGTTTTAGGAGAGAGAAATGGAGGGAGATAGATATATATATATTCAATGTCGATGAAACGTCAAAAAGGTGTATTTCAAAATACATTCTATTTTTGTTTTAAATAATAATCAATAATAATCAATTTCATATGTTGCACTCATTATCTTATCTAATTGATCAGGATTTAAAAGAATTCGAACCTTTCACTCTAGATGTGTGTGCGTGTGCGTGACGTCATTTTGTAATGAAACATTTCGTACGATTTAATTATTATTTTGATAAATGTTTTTATTATTTATTTTTGTAATGTTGTCCATTCTCTTAGTTTTATATTTGTTTTCTCTCGTCATGTTCTTGTTCGTGGCACGTGTTTTTAGCAAAGATCGCAAGGGTATAACTTTAGAAACTGACCCTCTCTCTCTCTCCCTCTCCCTCTCTCTCTCTCTTTTAAAACTCTAAAAGAGAATTGGATGATTCGCGCGTGGGAAGTATTTATTCCTGTAACGTTCGACCACGTTTCTCAAGCAAGATTTGAACTTTTTCAAATTGTTCTTCATTTTCACTGAATTTTGTCACGCGCGCGTTTTCCTTCTTTTTTTTTTTTTACTTTTAATTTATTATAACTATGTAAAATATTTACATTTCAAAAGATCATCTTATTAATTAGATATTTTACAAATGACCTTTGATAGATTCTTTTTGTTATATTATTTTGTTAGTAATACAATTGTAAAGCAGACTACTTTAACAATTTATAATGGAAAACGAGTTTCTAACTGGCATTGTAAAAATGTGGTGGTGAATATCGACATCAACAGGTGCGCTTCATTTATATAAATGTTTCCATCTCTTTCTCTTCTTCTCTCCCCTTCCCTTCTGTCTGTTTGAGTTATGCAACTGCAACTCTTGCAATTTCTACTCGTCGATTCTTCCTACCAATACGTTGAATGTTATAAGATTATAAACCAATTTATATTTATCATTTGCATTGAAAAAATATGATTAACATGTATGCATATATTCTTCTATAGGACACGCATACAAGATAGAAAAAATATACATGTATTATTTGATTTGTTTCAGGCATCAGGAGTAACCGTGGCGGACGTATGTAAGACGACGTACGAAGAAATAAAGAAGGACAAAAAGCACCGATACGTGATCTTTTACATTAAAGATGAAAAACAGATTGACGTTGAAGTAATTGGACCTCGTGACGCGGCCTACGATGCTTTTCTCGAAGACTTGCAGAAGGGCGGAAGTGGAGAATGCCGTTATGGTCTTTTCGACTTTGAATATACCCATCAGTGTCAGGGTACTTCCGAAGTAAGAAACAATCTCTTTTTTTTTGTCATTTTTATAGAGAATTTTACTATGTCTCAATAATAACAATAGAAATGTTGTGCTGCATCGTTTCCTTAAAAAGAAAAAAAAAACTTGGATAGTAATCGAATAAAAATAATAAATGAAAGATATCATTGATAACATGAGAATCAAGCACTCTACGACGTGTACATACGTCTGATGATATGCAATTATGATTAGAGTGAAAAAGATAGATTACTTTGAATAATCATCACCTTATCAGGTTTATCATGTTAGTTTTTGACGAGACATCGTTGAATTATCGTTGTTTTCGTTTGTTTCGTTTTTATTGTTGTTTTCCCGAGTGACGAGATTGAATAGACCTTTTTTTAAATTTCTACTTTTTCTCTAATGTTTTGATGCTTTTTCTTTTTTAGGCTTCCAAAAAACAAAAACTTTTCTTGATGTCGTGGTGTCCTGACACGGCCAAAGTTAAGAAGAAGATGTTGTATTCTAGTTCGTTTGATGCCTTGAAGAAATCATTAGTAGGGGTGCAAAAGTACATACAGGCGACAGACCTTTCGGAGGCCTCGGAGGAAGCTGTCGAAGAGAAGCTTCGAGCCACCGATAGGAATTAGGAGTTTAATCCAGCGAATCCAAAACAATTGCTATTATTGAGAGAAATCATCAAGCGATAAGAAAAACACAACAATCTCCTTTCCCTTAAAAAAAAAAAAAAATAAAATATCAAGCATAAATAAAAAAATAAAAAAAAAAGTCTACACCACTACCATCAGCAGAATCAACTAGCAGCAGCAGCAGCAACAACAACAGCAACATCAACAGTGCTATTTACTGTCCTATATTCGTCGTAGAATCGAAGATTCACGTTTTTACAGATTTTTTCACTTTTTAAAAGTGACGCCCCCCAAATGTGTGTCGCGTCGCGAGAAATGTTTGCGCTAAAACACGTACTGCTTTGCTACGTGTGGTATTTTAGTCATCAAGTGAAATATATAGAGCGTAAATATTATTTAAATACATAAAACGAGAATCGAAATTCATAATGCGAATTAAAATAATGAAAAAAAAAGTAATGATAATAATATTAATAATAATAATAATATTAATAATAATAATAATAATAATTATAATAATAATAATAATAATGAATAAGAAAGGATAAAAAAAATAAGAAGAAAATGAACAAGATAAACATTCGCCCATTTTCGTATTACTACTACGGACGGTTATGTGAATTGCTCCGATATGATAATATTAATATTATACTATTATTATTATTAAAATAATTGTAAGGTAATCGCTCTGTAAAAGAATAAGAACACAATTTATTACAAGCAACAGTCAACAACAAGCAGTAAAAAAGAATGGAAGCATTACATTTTTGTCACAGGATGTATAATGTTAACATTAAATTCATTTCATAATGGTTTATTTCTTTTTCTATGATATATCTTTTATAATGTGATAATCCTATTTCCTTTTAGAGATATCCTGTGGATCATTTGTCACATTTTATTTATATAGTTTGTATGTTTGATAAGAGTATATTATTCTAGATTTTTTGGTGGAACATGTTCCATGATAATTTAGCAAGGATTGCACGAGTATGTGGTTGATAACATAGTTTCCTGTATAAATTCGATTTATTATTGAAATAATAATCTTTTGTTTTTCATTTCAAAGAAATAATAGTAATACATTATTATGTAAGTATGTGTATATAAAATAATATTGATTTATTTTTAATTATAAAAGGTACTGTCATCTATCCTAATATAGGATGAAGATTGTTACGATTCTTTTTTTTTAATACTCTCTTCGAACTTTTGTTTTTTCATTTTTATAGAAATAACGGAAAGATAAGTCTCCTTATGCAATAATTGTACTTACAGTCGGACAACCTATAATAACCTTATATTTGAACATAACAAGGAAAAGAATACGACAAGAGCAATGCTTTTCTTCGTCATAGAAGTACATCCATTGTTGTTGTCCACACTGGATTGTTGAGATACCGAAGCCAATTGTATGACTATGATGAAGCAAAACAAATATAAATTAAGTAAATACAAATTTGATATGATTACAAAATCATTTTTATAAGTAATATTAATAATAATCTATATATACCAGTGTTGATTTTTTCTTCTGGCACTTCTTTGGTAGTTTTGTAATAGTCTTCAGCATCAGGTGCTGCAGAAAAAAAAACAACAACATACGCAAAAACGGAATTTGTTGTACTTTTAAACAATGATATATCATTTGTTTTGAACTTACGAGCACCTTCCGTAGCAAATTTAATGATTTTAGATGGCCTACTAAAACCATAACGATTTCTTGATACCACGAAAGCTTCGTAATGAGTGGCTTCATCCAATCCTGTCAAATTAAAGGATCGAGCATGTACAGGACCAATCGCGTTGCTTCCGCTTGGTATGTAAAGTCTGTGCCACTTGTATGCCATGGTCATCTCATCAGAATCTTCATCTTCGGATATGTATTTCTGTATATATTCATCAAGTGTATATCAATTAGATAAATAATTGGAGGGGACATCCTATATATAAATAATACTTACTTTGTATCGGCGAAATGAGAAGAGATACTCAACGATGGGAGTATAGCAATCGACTTCCCAAATGAAATTGAATGCAGTTTTGGATATACTCTTAACTTCTTTGAAAACCGCAGGATTTGCGGCTCCTGACAATTGTATAACTGCTTCGGTTATTCCCAAGGAATTCCATGCTCTGCATAAGTAAAATCCATAATCTTTCGTCATCACGTTCTTTATCATTAAACTGTGATTATGTCCTGAACTGTGCTTCATTATTCTTGTTGAATAGGGTATCGTTGTGTTAGTGAAGAACCATTCAACCTGTAAAATTGTTTGCATTGTATGTATTTTATGTTATATAACGAGTGTCTCTCTTTTTTTAAATCATTTCTAAATTGTTTTTCAACTTACTTCAGGATCGGGCCAAGCAATAACATTGCAATCTAATTGGGTACGAAGTCCAGGGGACGCATGTACCCATGGCTTATGTATAATAATTTCAGGCTTATCTGCAATTGATAAGCGTTATATTAATATATAACTTAATTTGATCAGATAATTATTGATATTTGCATAACGATATTAAATGTTATCCGCCGTTAGAGCAATTGCTTTGTAATTGGTTAATGTATAAATGTACGTACGCATATATACGCTTGTATATATGATTTGAATACTAAGAAGGACAAACGCGCTCACTCAGCAATTTGCTAATTTAATTATAATCGTTTAAATACAATTTGACACGATTGCATCTGAATACGAGTTAGAATATTTAATTATAAAGTAGCCTCGAATCTTCTTAAGGATAAATACCTAGAGGGATATAAAAGGGTGGAGCTTATTCTCTTTTTATTTTTATTTTTCTTTTTCCTTTTCTTTTTCGATCATAACTTTATTCATTGGGTGGTCTTGCAATTATTTGTTTTTAGTTTAGTTTAGTTCGGAAGACTCACATTTTACTCGAAGATCGATCGTTGCCAAGGCTGGATCACCGATACCATTGTCGGCGATGCAGGTGTATTGTCCTGAACGATTACGATGATCCACGTAAAATCTTAATTGTGGTTTGTTGGTCAACAATAGTATATTCTCCTCCTGTAAAAAGAACAAAAAATGCAACCTTTTTGCTGAAAATTGATTTTTTTTCTATTATTACCTTGGCCCACCAAGAGACGACTGGCGTGGGGACACCACTTGGGACACACTCCATGTTGACTTCCTCTTTTAAACTGACTTCCAGTACACCGGATTCCGGTATTGTGTGAATACTCGGTGGATCTAGAGAAAAAAATATAAGAAAGAAACTGGTTAGGAAATATAAGCACTACCAGACACCCGAACTTTCTAGGGCGTGACTAGGAAATAAAATACACATGTCTATTCCATAAATATATATGTGTATTAGGGTGGGTCAAAAAAATGACTTATTTTTTTTTTTACAAGTGCCACGGAAAAATCGGTTGCTGGACACCTTAAAAATATTCTCACCAAATATGAGCTTTTAATTTTAATAGGAAGATCCTCCGCATCGCAGTTTTTTATTTTTTTTTTCAGTCCAATAGATTAAAATTCATACTTCATTATTTATTGATTGTACAGAAAAATGTTCTAGACGAATTT